GTATTTATATATCTAAGGCTGTGTATCTTAGGCACCCGTGTAGGTAAAGGCGTAAAGCGTACACGGACATCCATCCGTGTATATTAATATTCGATAACCGGGCCCGCGTGGCCACTCGCTGCGCTCGGACAAAAAAAAACGAAAATATCCCTCGACTTACTATGCAATATCATTCCAAGTTAAGTCACAAGGTAATAACAGTATTACCCACGGACTAACATGACATCTGTGTTTTGCCATTTTCCATGCACAGCTAATTGCTTGTCTAGTAGTATAAAGTAGATGGCTTCAATATATTATCTGGGATCCCTGCATGTAAAAGGTCTATATCTATATGATATTTTCTATGGACGAGGGATAATAAAATGATAATATGATAAATTCATAGATATTTTACTCAGTTGTATGCACGCCTATAGATAGTCTATCTTTAATCGTGCTACACACCAAGCAGTACACTACTAAATTAGGCGATTAATAATCGCACTGTTTCCTATCTTCAGAAACGTGGATATTATTGTCGCGAAATAAAATACGTTAAAATTCCGTGATTAATCGCCTAGTGTGAGAGTGTGTAAATTATTAAAATTAACACACAATATAATTTACAATAAATATCTTGTTAGGGCGTTAGGCGTACCCCCAGACGTCAGAGACTTAACTAAACAGGACACAAAATCTTCCAGTAAATAAAATAAGAAAAAAGTTGCAATATTTTTTTTCAAGTTGGCCAGTTCTTTGTTGAGGACTGATAGAAAATTTGGCAATAACTAGCCGTTTACCTCCACTGGCCATTTTCCTCCAATAATGAATTAAGAAAAATAATGTTTATGTTTAATTCAAATATTATAATAACTATGAAAATAGTAATAACTTAAAAATAAAAAATAAAATACCCTACCTATGAATTATAAACAACTTTGTACCTAAATACCTATATTTTTTTAAAATTTTACAATTTACAACAATATAGTATTATGGTTAACAATATTATCGAAGTTCATGACTACAGTATTGCAGTTATCACCTCTCGGGCTTCATAATTTAAATTAAATTTGTGAATAAAAATAATATTAAAAACACAAAAAATTATGAATCTGGAACAAGCAGGTCCCCTAATAATAAATCATAACATTACAATTGTTTCTTATTTATAAATTATAATATGTACTTATATGGCTATATACCAAGATTGGGAATTGTCGAGTTTTTTTTTTTTTTATTTTTACAAGAAATACACAATCTATACAATTAAGCACATAATAAGTATATATGAGATAAGGGTAACAAAACATTATGGAGTTACGTGAATAAGAAGCCACCCATCAGTAGCACTTGGCATGTTTATTATGTGATTACATAACTTGTTAGGATTAAATTAGATGATCCCTACACCATTTCTTTTTCAGCCTGCTACGGGGATTTCCAGGAAGTGACGGGATATGTAAGCCTTTTAATTATCGAGTTAAAAAGTTAAAGTTAAGTTAATTTTAACTCTTTTAATTTAGATGGCATTNTTGGTGAAATAATAGAGTAGGTACAAAATGATAGCTTAGTATATGTAATCGAACACTTCTAGTAATATTCCATTTATGTTTCTGTTTGCTCGATTCTACTTTCACCTTATTTATGTGACTACCTATATAAATACTACAACTCTACAATATGCATTGTTAAATAGTTTAAGTATACAAACACATATTATCAGTGGTTTAAGTGGGGGGGGGGATACGGAGGGATGACATCCCTCTACTTTTTTGTATTTACATTTTTCATCCCTCTACTTATTTTGTCTAGAATAATGCATTCCTCCTAAGACTTGTGTTTTAAAATGAAATAATTATTATGATTTTTATATTTATACCTATGTATAAGAAAACTTTTTATTTTTCGTATAGGCCTAAATCTGAATTGTAAGGCATAGGCATCCCTCTACTTATCTTGAGCCATTTCGACCACTGTACATAATTAAAATAAATGCTAACAATTAGTACAATAAATTATAATCTAATTTTAAATAGGTGCACGTCTGCAGTCAGCAATTTCTTAATTTGACAGTAATATCTGAACAAATGAGAAGAATTATTAGTCCAACATCATTTTTTGTAACATTATTCACAATAATACATGTGCTTATTAGATATTTAGATATCGTAAATTTGGCAGTCTTATTTTGTTCCAACCTATATTATATGTCCAATTGACAATTACTGAAACTATTGTTTAGTTGCATTAACTAAATAATTTTCTTATCAAAAAAATGAAATACAATTTATATTGTATTAAAGGCACGTAATCTAGGTAATGCCATTAAAAAAATAATTTTTTTCATTGATTTAATTTTTTAAGTTTTATTTTTTTTAGAAAGACAACATCAATTTTTAATTTCTTATTCCTAAGCAGAATTTTTTTCAAAGTACTTTGATAGTAGTAACCTAACCTACATAAAAACCAAATGTTGATGCGTACTGCGTGTAGGGTAGTAAGTACATATCGTCATATCAGTAATAAACTACAACTATGGTCTATGGCACAAAGGTTGAAAAGTGTCTAGAAAAATGTTGGTCCATTAATCTGCTTATCTAAACAGAAATTTTAAAAGGAGGTACCCATATAATTTCTAAGTTATACCAGTTATAACTATTTTAAATTTTTAACTAATCGTTTGAAATTCGATTTTTATGTATGAAAAAATTCTGAAAAAATATTATTCTTCAACAATTTAAAATAAGTACCTATTATATATGTTATCATAAAGTCGTTCAAATATTCAATATAATAAAAAAAATTATAAAAATAAAAGGTTAAAACTTATTGGATTAGGTATAATGAGAATAGAACTTACCTAGTGTATACATATACCCTAAGCACGTTCATTCTCATTTTCCTTAAATAATGAATTTATTAAAATTCTACAGATTTGAAGTATTTTTTAAGATTTTTTGTGTATCTTTTTTTTTTGTATTTTTTTTATGGAGTGTTTTATTGTCTTTTTATTGTAAATTGTTTAAATTGCGTAAGCCAAAAAAACTAAAAGCTTCATATAGCTTAATAATTATCATCATAATATCAATAAGGAATAGTAAGTATAGCTGTTATACTTTTCAAATCAAAATTTTTTTTTTTAATTGCTGATGAGGTAGGTATACTTGCCTTGATTTTAACCGGTAAGCAGAAAGCAACCCCTCTTCTAATTGCGATGATTATCATACGTACTTAGAAATTCACTTTTTTAAACTACACTAGTACACTACTCGCAAATATCCACATCAAAGTTGTTATAATCATGTGACTGTATACTTTTAGTCTATACAGCCCCAATCCCTAGATAAAGTCATATTACAGGCGCGGATCCAAGGGGGGGGGCCAAGGGGCCATGGCCCCCCCCCCCCCGTAGACTGGTGGATTTTCTATTATATCTATTTTCGGCAGCCGATAAAATGTATTGTTTTGCCGATAGCGTTTCTTCGAATTTGGTTTTAATTATTGAAGCATTAGATAAAATATCTGAATGGAACGATCTTGAAACGTCCTCAAAAGCGTCTATTCTAATAAAATCATTGTCAAGTGCGGAATTTATTTTAACATTAAATCTTATGTCCGATATGTTTTCAATAACTGCACCAATAAGTAGAATTTTGCAATTAAAAAGTCAAGATAAATTTTCGGCTTCTACATTAATAAATAATGTACTTAGTGTTTTAAAAGAAAAACGGAAAAACAGCGTTGAAAATTTTAATTTAATTTTTAATAATAGTAAATAATGCTTGGAAAAAATAGGAATTTTCGACGATATTAAAATCCCAAGAATAACAAAACAAATGACTAAAAGAGCTAATCCACCAACTAAAAATCCAGAAGATTATTTTCGTATCGTTTTGTTTATTCCATTTTTAGATGACTTAATTACCGACCTTGAGTACAGATTCGATAAAAAATCAGTGTCAGTGTTTGATTTAGATATAATTTTGCCAACGTTTATTCATAATAAAGACGTTTTTAATAACCAAAAAGAAATCCAAAATAAAATTAACAATATGATGGCACAATTTTGTGAATTAATATCTATTAATTTGAACTTATCGGAAGACCTCGTAAAAAAATATTTCGAAGGAGAGCTTCAATTGTGGCATACATATTGGACAAATGAAAAAGAAATTCCAAAAACATCATTAGAAGCTTTTGAAAGATGTGATTCCGAAACCTTTCCAATTATTTATAATTGTTTTCTCATACTCCTGACATTACCAGCCACTTCAGCAACTGCGGAACGAAATTTTTCTTCTCTTCGCCGACTAAAAACTTGGATGCGATCAAGAATATCCGAAGAACGCTTAAATGGACTTGCATTACTTAACTGTTATAGAAATATTAGTATTGACTGTGAAGAAGTAATTGACGAATTTGCCAAATCTAAAAGACGAATGGATTTTGTTCTGTGATCATTTTTTAATATTTATTATATTTTATTATTAATTATTATTTATTATATATTACGTGTCATTATTAATTAAACAATTTATATTACTTATCTAATTATTTAAAAGACGAAAGGATTTTGTTCAGTGATCATTTATTATTAATTATCTAATAATTTTATATATTTTATTGTACTGATAAACTGGTATTTAAATAATAATATTTATCTATTAGCTTACATGGTATGTACAATGTTTTTATAATACTTAGGCCGAAATTGTATTTAAGATGGCCCCCCCCGTAAATATGTTTTAGATCCGCGCCTGTCATATTATATCATATTATAACATAGGTCCAATACTCCTTCTGAGGATAATTAATAATGACTGCACGTCGGTGTCTCCGTAAACCATAAACCTTTTTTTACCCTACAAGGTCTATGCAGTAATAACAGTCGTGAATCGTGATACCATACCTACCTATAGTAAGTAATATCATCTATTTAACACACACACGGAGGGCACACAATACGCGCGCGACTGCAACTACAATACGTCTGCGTAGGTTTATGCGTATATGTAAGCTCCGCCCCGGCGCCACGGACTCTTCGGTTGGCCGACGCGAAAAACTACATGTTCCCTGCGGCCGTCCACCGATGGGTGCCCCTCCCTCCAAAAGGGTCGAACACAACGAATTTCACATAAACAAATTATACGATTCATTGTTTTATTATTATCATCATCATCATCGTCAGCCGCGGAGTGTATCATATACTTGTCTATGCGCGGAGCTACCCGTGCGCACTGCATTTCCGCACCGACGGCCGTCTAGCGCTACACACCGATCGACCAATGTCGTCGTCGTCTTCGTCAACCGCGGTCACTCAGCCCAGCCCGCTGTCGGACGGACTGTCTTCGTTGGTGTTGTCCAAGAGGTACCTGTCGTGCGCCAAACCGCCGCACGTGTACAAGCTGGAACGCGAGAACAATCTGCTGGACGGCGGCGGCGGCGGAGGAATCTGCGAAGACTCTGTCGCCGCCGACTGTTGGCAGTCGACAGCCTGGGTGCCACCACCGACCGCGACCGCCGCGGTGCACGCCCGCTACGAACCCTCGGACGTGTTCACGCCGCTGGTGTTCGAAGAGATGCAACCGTCGTCGCCGCCACCGCAGATGTCCATGTGGTTACGGCCGGTGGAACGTCACAATCAGCAGCAGCAGCAGCAGCAGCAGCCGACGCATCACCACGTGCAGGCGACGTCCGGCTCGGGTAATATGCAGCAAAGGCGCCCGTTACAGCACCTGCCACCGCCAGCACAATCGTCGCTGCAGCCGCCTGCCAAGATCACGTCAGTCGCCGAACCACAACACCAGAACGGCCACAAGCCCGGCGACTTGAGTTGGCTGGTCAACTTTCAGGTTGCGTCCATATTTGAACCAACCTGTAACGACAGTACCACCGGTGGCGGTGGTGCTGGTGCAGGAGTTAATGTCTCGGGCAACGAATGGCTGGAGCCGGAGACGTTGAAACAGAAAAAGAAAGCCACCAAATTAGATCAAAAACGTGAGTATATTTTCTACCAAACAACAGATTGAAAATATCAAATAAAACTAATTTAAAAAAATAACACTTTAGTATTATTGGTAAGCTCCCGCAGTATGTTCTATTTCGTTGTGTTGCATGATTTATGTACACATTCCGCATTCCACGCCACCTTAATAGTTTTGTGTAGAATATCATTAGATATACATACATTATAAAATTAGTTGCACCGAACTTCAAAAAAAACTCAACCAATAATTGACCACACAACAACAAACCCTAACAAGTAATTTATGGGTACAGTCATCCCCATTACTTTTCATAAGGATTATTTTTTGGAGTTGATAACGTTTTCAAATAAAAGTATAAGAATAGCCACAAAATGCAGTTCGTCATTGCATGATACCTATTAAATTATTAAAATAAATAGGTAATATTCCTAAGTATTTCACACGGATTCTCGGTATTAATTGTGAGTGGAATGATGATATGATTCATGTTCGTGAGTGCTGACTTGCATTATAGTATTTAGACCTATAAAAATTATTTTTTATGAGATGACAATAAACACGATAGGTAAACTTATCTTATATTGTAGCTTCGGTAATGGTTTGTAGTTTCGGTAATGGTTTATAGTATTATCTTATAATCATAAACCGGTGTCATACTCTTATAGGTAGATAGCAAATTATTATTATTAGTGACCAGCAGTGTGCTAGCCGCTAGGGCTGTACCCGTGTGCTAGATGGTAAATGTATTTTGCAGATATTAAAATATTTATGTGATTATATGAATAACTAATAGATATTAATAACTATCTTAAATTATACATTTATATTAAACTCCTGAGTTGTAAATTAGCATTACAAATATCTATAATACATTTTACACATTTAAATATCCGTGTTTATTTATCACCTTTAATAACAAATTGTGGTCAATATTAAACAAACAATTATTTCATCTAACAATCTTTTAAACAACAAATAATACTGTTTTGCGTAACAAAATTTTCAATTGGGTAATAAATAGTTTTTCTAGATACCTATTGGTATATCTATTATCTATCTCTTAAAATACTAACAATAATGTTGATAATTATTATTTAATCAGTAAAAATATATAATATACTCTATGGATGTCTTCTCAAATAAATGTTATTTAGTTGAGCAGTCATGAACAAAATTACCTGATGTAGGTATATAGATCAGACTGTCATTCAAATAACAAGAAGTGGAACTTATCATCGAAGTTAAAAATCCATACAGTCCTATTCCCTGGTTTAATGGTTATATATTTATAGTTTAAACTCATTTAGATTAACATTGTTATTTGTACTTACCCCAAAGAACAAAATATCTTAGTAGTTCATTAAAATAATATTATTTGAAAAATAGGTACCTATAAATATAAAGCCCATATTTTATTATATTGTTGTAGCTTCGTCCAAAACCAATCGAAAACCATATAGAATGCCACCTTCAAGGTTAGACAAAGCTAATAAACCTGGATATACCTATACAGAAATGATTCATCAAGCCTTGATTGAAAAAAAAGAACTACCAGTAGCAGAAATTTATCAATGGATATCGTAAGTATAAATTACTGTATAAATTTCTTCTACTATCGATAAGATGAATCCTAAATTATATATTGTAAGTCCTGACTACATTATAATTTATATATGCCAAATTCACTTAATTAATTTAATGAAGATAAAAAATATTCTTTAATTTGAGGACCTTTTATAATAAAATCGTTATTGTTGCGCATCACCTTGCTCATCGGTATTTTATAAACTGCTATAATTATGTGAAGTTTATTATTTAACAAAACTCCCAATAGGGCACTAAAGCCTTAATAGCCCGATTTGGCAATGAGTGGGTCTTACATAAAAGAAATCAGTTGTCACTACTTATATACATTTAATATATAGAGTGCATTGTGCATTTTTATTTAATAACTTACTACTTAGGTACCAATTTATTGCAACATGAATAGTATTTTTTTTCCAATACTTAATATTACATCTTGATTATTTTTGCCTTAATTTTTACACATTTTAATCGCTGAGTAAGTGATAAATTGGTTTTAAAATTATTATGTGAGATTTTTGGAGGAATTTACTCAACAAAAAACAGGAATAAATTTTGTATACAACATAACACATTTATAATCTACGTACAATTGGAAATGGAATATAGATTGTAAATTTATTATGGTTATTTCTGGAATTTCTCAATACCTACATAGTTTTTAAGAATCAGTTATATTAAATAAACTATAATTTTGTACTGCAGCTTATAATAAAAAAAATACATAATATTATAATAGATTAAAAACAACAAAGACAATTGACAAAGTCTACTTGTTTTCATTTCCAAACTTCGTTCCTTATTTGGGTTAATATAGGGTAAATCGTTAATGTATGGGGTTTCAATGGAATAACTTATTAATAATTACAATTTATATTATTTATTGCTTTTATATTATTATTTATGGAAGACTGTAGTTGGTCTACTCTTTACGATTATCTAAATATACCATATTACTTAATTTTGTTTCTCGTTTTATTTTAAATTAATGTTTTACTGGAAAAAATTCGTTAAACAAATTTTATTGACTTAATTTCAGTATATTACCCAAATAATAAATACATGAATCCGGTCTTATGACATCTGATGTAATACTAATATAATAAAATATAAATCATAAATTTATTCATTACCTACCTATGTATATTATTAAATCATTATGTGATTTGCACATAAATTCTGCGGTGATTAAAGGTTAAGCCCTTTTCATTTATGTTAACATGTTTTCACCACAATATTTATGTTTAATATTGTCCCGTGTGTTTACTATGTAAATATTTTACTTACGTTGCGTATAGTCATCAATTGACAACCACAACAGCTAAAACTCCCACACCCGTATATTTACAATAACGTCCCTCGAGCGTGCTAACACCAATTTTATGGTTCAGTGGCGGAGGAATCGCTGTTTACGTATCGCGTGACATTATGAGAACAAATACGTATATGTATACACTAGACAAGTGCATTTAGGGCTGTATAGTCTGTATAGTTATAATACTTACAAACAAAAATGAGTTACAAACTACAAAGTATAGCACCCGAAAGTATGAGAATAAATTTTCGTTTATAAAATAACAGGTAATCTAGGTGTTTTTAGAGGTGGGTTTAGGTGAAAATAATCAAAATAATATATTTTTGTAAATTTTGATCAGTATAATTTATATCCTTAGTAAACGAATTTCTTTTAAATTCAAACTTAAAGTTTTATAAGTTATAACCTGTAATTTTTAAATAAATAGCAGACATTTATCTGGATTTATTAAGATTAAAATCCAGACGATTGATTTGGTGTCTTGGTGGTATAAATAAAATATAGATGATAATAATAACATGATTTTGACATGAAGAATAGATGTAGAATAAAATTTACTTTTTTGTTATCACTTTTAATCAATTGTTAACTGGTTTATGTATATATTAAGATAGATACTTACTAAATTTAAAAAACTAAAAATACTTTCATATTCTCATTTTAAAGTACATAAAACAAATTTGTGACAATACGAGCATCGTACAGTACCTAAGCTTTGAAAAACAATGCAAAGTGCATCGAAATCCCAACAATATTTATTACTTATTAGTTATTAGTTATCATCATAGAGTACATTAAGTATATTATATTGCATTTCAATACGATGATCTGAGAAAAATTCGAGTATATGATATCTATGAATATTTAAATAGATATTATTATAAATTATAATTTCCCATGACCCACACCCTCAAGTTAATATCAGCAAAATATACTTCTCCTTTAGTTTCACTTCACCTGTCTATAAATTTCCCTTGCCACGTGTTAGTGTTTCCTGTGTAAAACTGTTTTGGAAAAGGGGGTTATAAGGGTTAATAATGGTTACTGTCTATTTGTTTCCGTAATCAACCGGCCGTGAAACTTTTTACCTATTCCCACCCTGATGTATATGGATGATATTATAAACAATAATGTCGATTATAATTTTATTTAAATTATATCGTTTAAAGCCTTTAAACCTAATACGTATAATTAGGTAGGTTGTAGGTACCTATATTATATTGTGTTAAAACGGCCATATTTTGTATGTGTATATACGTGGTGAATTTATACTGCGCTATAGGGTTTGATTGCATTTATTTTTTAAAAATATTTTTCCGTATACTTTCGATTTGGATGTATTTTTTTTATATTTACAAATAAAAAGTTACTGCAAAATATCTTGGAGTAAAACTTTGACAGAAAAACTAATATGGCACAAAAAATAAACTGTATACAACAATGAAATAATAAATTATTACCGCTTGCTCTTAAATATTTATTCAGACAATTCTCCACTAAAAAACTAGAATAAAACCCCCTACAAAATAAAATCTTCACAGAATACTTAAACTTATCTCGACTTACGGCATACACAGTTTGTGCTCAATCTTAAGCAAAATATCAAAAATCTTAATAAAATGTTCTAACAAATAGGTACATCACTTTATGTCACAAATAAAATCTTATTTACTTTACACATAGACTTACAAATGAAAACAATAATTATAAAGTCGCATACCTAACCGTTACTATAAGTCTTTAAACTATTATACATTATACATCCGCACAAAATATTTATCTTGACCAATTCCTGACAATCCCTCCCCCCTTGATATTTTGAAAAAACTTGTGTCGTGACCAGTAGATCATCATAACTCAACTATATTACTTACTGTGTAATCCATTTATTCTAAAATTCTAGGGGCAAGGAGTGTTAAGTGGCTTTTCCATACATTGTATGTATACGTATTAATATTGTTTGGTTTTTGTGAGAGTATCTACTTCACGTACCTATATATAGTATACAGTTTAAAGATTCATGAGAATTTTGTCACAATAATGCCTATAATGTTTGGATATACTTTTATGAATAGTTAGAATTTGATTACTGGACGTCGAAGTAAAATCGAAAGTAAATCTACTATCTAGTTATTATATTATAAAATATTTAATTCCTTAGTGGTTTACAATTTTTACTCATAATACTCGTAGTTTGCGTATAAATTATTATATTTAAACATAAATAGAGAACATAAAAAGAAAAATGTCATATTTAGTGTTGGATAAAATATTAAATTTGTGGGCAATATGTTCAATCTCATTGTAACCATGACAACTTCATTTGTTGTTGTTGTGAAAGATGGGGATGAAGATGGTCTAAAATTGAATTTCCAAATAGTTTGCGTTTAAAACCATTTAAATTTGGAAGTAATATTTTTTTTTTACTGACAAAACAGTCTTGTTTTATTTAATTATGTTTCCTAATTTATTTTAATTTGTTTAATAGTAAATAGGTACCTAATATAGTAATATTAATTGTGTGTCTTATTTTTAGACAATTTTTCATTTTATATTATTTTTTCGTGCACTTAATAAAATCATTTTTAGGTTTTCAAGTTCCCGGCTATAGTTTTATAGATCATAAATCATAAGTAAACCGTGCCTCGTGCATACATACTAAGCATAATATCTACATGACTATACTTGAATAGGTAGGTACCTATACATATAATCGAATAACTAAATATTGACGAAATCTGACCACAAATGTAGATTTTTTTATTCTTCAACGCGACCAGTTTTCAAATAAAAAAAAAAAACGATTTTGTTTATGAGTATAGCGTGTGTATGTTACCTATGAGTGAAAATAACTCACCCCTACACACGTTTATTGTGTTCGTACCACCTTGGTGCCAGGCACCCATTTGTGTTTCTTATAGAAATTAAAGAAATAAGGTTAACTTTACCGAAGTCACGGTCCCCCTTTTCAACTTGTAGTTTGATATTATCCTATACAACAATAGAGACCAGTAGACTATACCAATAATATTAGTAATATTCTAATATAATTTCGATAGTATTCGACGTAGATTGTACGATTTATCAGATTAAAAATATTAACATATTTTGTTCGTTTAAGTATATGAATAAAAATAACCATGAATAATATATATACACGTAATGAATAAAGATGACTACGATAAAAGATACCTATAGTATAGATAAGTAGGTACCTATATAATATAGGTAATTGATCATATTTTCGTAAAACAGATAAATTTTTGATTAGTTATAAGCAGATGCTAAATACCCTGTAGGTATATGCTTAACTATTAATTTGTATTTTACATTCTGGACTCGGAATGTTAGTATTGGTGTTACAAATTACGTGTAGGTTTTTGACTGTCATCACTCATCAAGTTTTGGATCAGAAAAAGCTTCAATCTGGTTTCCGGTAGATAATTTGATATTTTAATCTATAGCTGGTATTTTGCATGATCAATACAAGATGAATTTCTGTAGGGGAAATTCGCTACTTTTTAACAATTACATACAGGGAATAACTTACTAAAAGGAAACAGTGGAAAACGGGGAAAATTCACACAACACCGGTATTTTGTCTTGTAATTTAGAAACGAATTAAATACCATAAGGAATTGACATTTTGACATTTTGACATTAATGTGATTGTGTATAACTCTCCAACCATTACCAGCATCGGCAGCATCATATTATACATATTACCTTCGCAAGCGGGAGCATACTACTTGCGTCCGAAATTATTATCAGTAGGTGAGTTGCGTCCCGCAAAAAAAAGATTCAAAAAGATCATAGCGTATTTGCGTCCCGGTATACCTTTTTCTATGACCTAATTGCGTCCCGAAAATATCGATATAATCGATATAAAAATGTACATTGATGATACAAATTTAATTTTTAATAATAACAATATAAAAATTGTTATAATAAATTAATAGTTCAATTCAATTGCAATATTAATAATAATAATAATATAAAAATGCATGTTATACATTTTTCCATCAAAATAATAATAATTGCAATAATAATAGTAATAGTAATATAAAAATTCATGTTATACATTTTGTCATAATAAATATAGTATAATATAATAAAAAATAATTAAAAAATGCATGTTAAACATTTTGTCATAATAAATCATTACCGAATCATACTGAATTTACAATATATGAACTATCGGTTTTAGTGACACGTGTCGTATATGCACTTTTAAGTGATATAGATTGGATTGAAAAGAGTACGGAAAATTGCGTGACTACTCAAAAATTAAACAAATAATTTTACGGGTCGGAAACACTTTTATTTTAAAACTAAATAAACAAAAGTCGCCCGTACAGCAATCGTCGCCTCTTCCGTGTGCACGTCGATGGCGCGCTCTCGGCAACACACCCGGCGACGACGGGGACTCCTCGTTCCTGCCCGTGCGGCCGTCTTATATCTAAGTAATTTTTGTCACCTCAGCACATCTAGCTTCCCAGGCTTGACCTATTCTAATACCTTAATTGCTAAAAATTATGCTAAAATTATGCTGACGACTGTCAACAATATACGACACACGATACTATCGATTTTAATGATTTTTGAAGATAATATCGATAATAATAATATGGTTGACTTGCGTCCCCCAAAACGGGACGCAACTTACCGGTCAAATTTACTACCTAAAAAATATATTTTTTTTTGGGACGCAAGTAACATGCAGCCTCGCAAGCACGTAATTTATAATCGTTAGATCAAAATTTTCAAAATCGATTTATGGATGTTGAACCTTGAACAGCTCTACGCCTTTTCCGCGGACGAAACGTCAAAGTTAATTGTTCAATTTAAACGAACAGTCCAAAGTAGGTGGGTATAGTGGAAACCTACTATACCTACAGTTACAACAGCAAGGCAAGTTCTCCGGTTATTTTATTTCTAACATTATTCGTCATCGATTGATTAAAATTGATTAAGTGAAATACTGCAAAGTGTAATGTATAATAATCTAAAAAAAAAATGTTTTCGTCATTACCTACTAGTTAGTAATAGGTAGGTATGCTATGGTGTGTATTTTAAGAGGGTTTAAAGGATATTGTTGGACGAGGGGACTATGTGGTAGTAAAAAATTGTAAGAGGCAATATACTGTTCGAGTAAAGGGTTTCTTTCAGTATTCCAGTATTCAAAATAACACGTTGGATAATAATATTTATGAACGATAATTTTATGGAACTCCAATTCTTTTAAATTACTTCTAAGTATTAGAAAATTATTTTTCGGAATACATTTTGTTGAAAAATATTAGAAAGGAACTCTAATTCTATGGAAAATGGTTATACTTATTTTAAATATTATTATGGGTAGGTACTCAAAAATATATTTATTTTTCAGAAGTCATTTTCCTTATTTTCGTGAAGACGACGAACGTTGGAAGAACTCCGTACGTCACAATTTGTCCATCAACCCCAATTTCCGAAAAGGTAGAAAATCTCAAGGGGCCGGTCATTATTGGCGGCTGTGTAATACAGAAGAGAGTCTGGGACACCGAGAGTATTCCATGACCACCGAAGACGACACATCTTCGCCACAAGAGTCATCTGAATTAGAACAAGCTTGCAAGTATTTAGAAGGCGAGCTACACCGAGAAGATAGTTTGGAAGATGTGAAAATGATTCAGAGTATCAACACAGAATTAGAAAATGGTATGTTTTTTGGTGTTTAGTCAACGAACGAATTCTGCATCTGATTATTATTTACAAACATATTTTGTTTTAACATTAGATTAAGTAAAAATCAAAATTTGTATAAGTACCACTTTGTACAGTACAATATTTTATTTCCTTAGTCTTAAAACAGCTCTACTATACTAAAAAGGGTATTAAAACTCAAATTACTTTTAAAACAATTGATAAATATATTATAATGTATGTTGTCATTATTTACAAATACTATTCAATTACTTTTGATTAAGTTCATTCAGCCACAACTAATTATTATTTAAAAATTATAACCAGAGGAATTAAATTGTTTATTTACTTAGCAATATATATTTTTTTCTCTTGGATATAATAATGTTTTAGTTGTAAAACATATTGATTAGGTATTATGTTTATACAAAAATACTTCTAAGAATACTATAAAAATATCATAAGATCTCAAATGTTTAAACTTTCAAGTATATGATTAGTGGTTATAACATTAAATAAGATGTTGACACCAAAGTAAAAATAACTATAATATTGTTTTCCTAATTTACCTACTTGTTATTTGATTACAATTTTATTTTATTTATGTTGTAGTAAAGAATAAAAGTCAATTTTATACATTTTTGTTTTTGTTTCAGAAATATATACCAATTCGTTTTTGATTTCCAGTCCGTCAAAGTATGTAAACGAACAAATCAGTTTATCAAATAATGATTTTCATTCGTACAGTGATAACTTGTTGGAGGAGTCCATTGACTTTCAATATTACAATTTATAAAACTTCCAGCTCAAACTACTTTGGTTTCCAAAATTCCAATTATTTTACATATATATATTTAAGACTGACCAACAGGTGACCTTTTTATAAAATTAATTTTAATACATGATTGATTAATTACATCAATCCAGACACTCATATTTGTTCAGTTTGCGTTTATGTTTGATTGTTTGAAGCTTTTTTTATGTTACCATTGTGTAAAAATTTTTTGATCATCCTGATTCTAGTCAATTATTTATTATTTAAAATAATTTTTGCTTACTTTTTTTTCCAAAATACACTTATTATTGAATAGATTTAAATATTATAATTATTGAAAAGCATTTTTTTGTATAGATATTAAGACGTTTAAAATAATATCTCGTGAATAGTATTTCATATTTTTATATATTATAAAAAAAAAAAATGTATATAAAAAACATGTGAATTAAAACAACCTGATGTGTTTGGAGTTAGTTTGTTATGAATATTATTAAATAAATTTAAGATAGTTAGAAATTAACAGTGACCACGATCTTCAACTCGTTGTCTTGGTGCAGCTTTAATGATACAATCGACACGCAAAATCATTTCAGCAGCCTCAGCTGCAGACACTAATACTTGTCGTTTGACAACAAAAGACTCAGTTATTCCAATCTCTTTCATACATCCTAAAGTGCCTTTTTCCATATCTAAAATAAAATGTTCAATACAGTATAATACTAGAAAATTAAATATTTAAATATGATAACTTACCAAGACCCATTGTATTCTTGCCAAGAGCATGATGGGCTCTTAATTCATTGACAAGCTGTGCAGAATCCAAACCAGCATTATCGGCAATAGTGGTAGGAAGAGACTGTAAAGCTCGTGTAAATGCCTCCATGGCAACTGCTTCTTTACCAGGTGTCTTAGCAGCTACAGCACTAACTGCATTTGCCATAAGCATTTCACTGCAACCACCACCATACACAATGGTTGGCTCTCTAACAGTGGATGATAATACACACAAAGCATCGTGTAATGAACGGTCGGCTTCATCAATAATTTGTTCAGTCGCACCACGGATGACGATGGTGCACGCTTCACCGAGAGCTACGCCAGAGAAACGTAACAATGTGCTTTCCCCAATCATTGTTTCTTCAATAAGTTTGCATGTACCTAACTTGGCTATGGCTGGAGAATCGAATGTTGATAGAATCTCACCACCAGTTACAAGAGCTAATCGTTCAATACCATCAAAATCGGCATGTTCAATAGCCATAATACCAGCATCAGCAAAAAGTTGTTCTGGATAATTGTAGATCAATTGTCTAAAATAACAAAACAACAACTTTATTAAACTTATAAATTGAAATTTGATTACTCAAAAAGTAGAATTGTACTTTAATTTTACTTAACTAGAAAAAAAATTAATTAATATTTAAAAAATTGCAACGAGGTAGGTGCTATATTGTATTTTAAAGTTCAATCAATTTAATTCAGGATTAATTATAAATAAAAACGTAAAAATAGTAATACCAATAATAAACAGTTTAGAAGATAAAAAATGCTATCATTTTTTCACAATTAAATTAATTTAAGAAAGAAATAATAATTTATTTGTTATAAAACAATTTTGTATTACCTGTTAATGAAAACATTGCATTCATGAGAAAGTATTTTTCCAATTTTGTCTTTCATTTTTTCTTTTTCTGCCAATTCAAGTTCAGCCACTTTAGCCATAGAATCAACTTTAATACGAGATCCAAATACTTTAATTTTATCAGTATCCATAGGAGTATTGGCAATAAGTATACGGGCATTTTCAATACGTTTTGGCTGATGTTGGCCAGGTTTTTTGTCCAGAAGGAAACCTATTGAAATTAAAGTAAATTAATAATTAAAGTTTTATTCAATATTCAATATTATTCTTACCTTCATCTAAAAATGAATCTTCTAAACATCCACCTTTCAGCTTAATAATCTGTATGGCCGATAAATTTCCAGAACCTTTTAGACGCAAAATTGCATCAACGGACAATTTAGCGAAATGTTCTTTGTGCTGAGATAAAATTTTAGAGCTTAAAGTTGTACGAGCAATATTCAATAAATCTTCTCGGAATTTAGCTTCATTTTTACTATTATCTATTGTAGAAGCTTGTAAAGCGTCATGCGCAATGGTTGTTGCTTTTCTCCATCCAGATATAATTACTTGAGGGTGAATTTTTTGATCAACCAGTTTTTCTGCTTCGCGTAACAATTCAGCAGCTAAAAAAAAACAGTAAAATACAGTCTTAACTTTTTAACAATCAATAGACGGTTAAGTTTGTATGTTTTAATTTTAATTTATAGGGCTTTATCTACTAAACTAACATATTCATTATTATGCTATATACTTATTTGTCATTATTCATTTTAAATAGATATAACATACATAGGTATCCAAAATAATAACTATTATTAAATAAATAATTACTTTAAATAAAATATTATAAAAGAAGTGAACAACCCAGAATAGCTATAAATAAGAACCAATTTATTCAGATCAGACCTTAAAAATTAATATATAATTAATTTCACCCATTGTGATAAAAAAATTAATAGTTTTAATAAAAGAATAAGACTAAAAATGCTTTAGAACTTGAGCTGAAACACCATATGCCATCCAGAAATTATAATCAAGTATTTGAATAATACAAAAGTTCTATAACCCAGAACATTAATTAATTGTTCATTTATTATATAACATATAATAACATACATTGCATCGTAATTCTAAAAAAATTAAATTATATTACCTAAGACAGTTACAGACGTGGTACCATCTCCAACTTCACCATCTTGAACTTTAGACATATCAACCAATATTTTGGCTGCTGGATTATCAACTCCAATATTTTTCAAAATTGTTGCACCATCATTGGTAACTTCAACTTTAGCATCCATTCCTCCGCGGCCGGGAGATATAAGTATCTTGTCCATTCCTTTTGGACCCAATGTGCTTTTGACCAAATCACCAATGGCGATGGCTCCAATGAAACTGGATAAGCGAGCATTTTCACCCTTGTCTTCTTCGGCTTGATGTTTCAAAATACGTACTGGATTTAAAGAAACCTTAGTTGGAAGAAAATAACCAAATAATATTACTATGCACTCTTATAAAAACGCCTACATAAAGCACTCTGATTTTAGTAGGTTAAGTGAACACACGAAACAAAAAATATTGTTACTTACCATTTTGGCGAACTATAGAATGAAATTAATACTTTAGAATAAATAAACTATGCCGGAATGACGGCGATTTAAGTTTTAGAAAAATAACAAAAATTCAGTACTCTATTAATTGCTCACAGGATCACAACGAGGTATTATAAATTGTAATACTGTATGGGTCGACCGGTGGTGGGTGGTTACTCATGTGTATCATGGTTGGTTAAGTTTTAGTTTATCACTGGAGCCTTATCAAAGATTGCAGTTGATCAGTGGTACCATCCTAACATAGCAACGTAAAGCACTGGGAAATATGAAAACAAAACGCGCCAAATTAAATTATTACACATTTGGTTGCCGGAAATTACGATTCGACTGATTTGAGTTTACGATCTAAATTACCAATTAGTTTTCTTCATTAAATATTTATTTATATTAGGTACCATAAAATTCGTAGGCACTTTTGTCTGTTTTGTATGTATGATACAATAATATTATTGCGATTTGCGACCGGCTGTGATAACCAGTGATTGATCATCTGAGCGTAGGTACACTACTTCACTGCATTGGCACATGGACATATCTGGCATCACATCATGATTATACATATTTAATGCTCTAATGCTCCCTGGTACGTCAGAAACTCCACCCTAAAGTCTACACAACGACCTCAACTTACCATCAATATTCTCTCTTGAATGTCAACATTTTAATAAATTCCATAAAAACACCTTTAACCACTATAACCCGCTCATATCCAAACTCTTTTCTTGCAAAATACCTGGCAACCCCTCCATCGTCTCAAACACAAATAGTCGGGTGATTTATGAAATAATATTTAGAATCTACCACTAAATAAAACAATTTACCTCCCTCCTAAGTTCATTAATTGGAAGTAGTGTCACTGGACGCTCCCTTCCCTCAAGTTGTCACGTCTAGTACTTATGTCTCACATTTACTTACTGTATTATTATGTAGATATACAGATTGTTAATATCTTTTAATAAAAAATAAATAAAAAAAAGCATATAAAATATATTATTGAATATAGTTTCCCTTCCATTACCAAACTCTGTTAACCATTTTATTGATTTATTCATGTATCACAATTTCCATATTACTTTTGGGTACATTATCCGTATGTTGTCGTAGACTTATTTAATTTTTTAACATTTCAGGTTCAAAACCAAATACGCTTTGGTTAAAATGGTGATATCGTTGTCGTCAACATTTAATTCTAGTACGAATACATTAGCAATGTTTTTTATCATATTCAATGTTTCCTGTCTTACATCTCAAATTAATACCATTAATCCTCATCTTAAGTATCCATGAAATTCTACGACAGTAAGGCCGTATACATCTACTTACCTATAGTGATTAAAATAATAATAATAATATTTATTTGATACTAAATCAAAAATTTTAAGGAACATAGGTAGATGATACAAAAAGATGCATTAATTATATACATATTCGTTTCTTTTTTCAAAAGCGGAGCTTGTGATAAAATGGGTGCATTTTTCATGAGAAGATAAAATTCAACAAACTTGGTGTCTCGAATAGTGAAATTAAAAAAAAAAATCCATGGTAAAAAACCAATTAGTTAAGAATTTTTTATTGTACTTTCATGTAATTTGCAATTTATGGATATTACTAGGCATACTATATAGCTTTGAAGCTACGTCATGTTATTAGGTTCCTTTTTTCCCAGTATGTTTATTGTTTCATTATACTTTAATAACCATACATTTAAACTGCATATCAAGATTCAACATTAAGAAGATGTCAGCGCACCGTTTGTTTTTATTTTATAATATTACTTATATATTATTATCATACTATGATTAATATTGATGCGTCCACGAGCTGGTGTGAATAATAAGTATAATATAGTTTAATGCGGCTTGTGGAAATTATTGTGTCTATATTGAACGGACTACGGTGGGTCTATTTTGTACGCTAAATATTTAGTACTCATATAATACAATATTATAATATGAGTGTATTTTGTATTAAATTGGAATTTTTAGTATGAAATTCCAATTCGGTACATTTTGTAACATCTTTCGTATACGAATACTTATCGTACGTACGATTGACTTCCGTTCGTACGAATATTTTCGTATGGATCACGAAAATGATACTTCGTACATCATCCATTTGTTTATGGTTATTTTGTAACTTTACGCTAACGACGAAATTGTTTGTAAATACGTGTGGTTATATTACAATATTGAAACGTATATTTGTATGCACAGTGTACATAGCCGCATTATATGTAACACTATGTATAATTATTATAAATCGTGGTATTTACCATAATGCGTGCATTGCAACGATGATATTTCGGCGAAATGAGTCTCTTGAAGATTAAATCCATATATTATACTTCCTTTATTTTATATAATATCATAAAAAAATATCTCACGAGAACGAAAGACTCCATTGCTTTACTTTGCTGTTGACAGAGTTAAGTAGGGGTTGGGGGTGTACTCCAACCCATCAAATGTTTGACTATATAGTATTATTATTTTATGTATTGAATTTTGTAATATTGGAACGATTAGTTATTCATTTTACTTTGTTTTAATATACTTTTTGATGTATATAGGGATCTAAATCAAAAGTGTGATGAGTAGTTTCTGAGTTATTAAAATGTTTATACTAAGGATCAACCCTTGAAAAATGATCTTATAAAATTATAAGCTGTATTATGTTGTGTTAGAATTAATGTTTAATATACTAGTTTTATTTTTACAAATTATTGATATTGATAGATCAAAAATAATTACTGACATTTTCAAATCACATCTATTTATCCCATTGGCTATTACCAAACATATTAGTACATAAATTTATAAAATTCAAAAACAGCTCGTTCGAATTTTGATTTTAGATATGAGATGCATCAAAATTCTCAAAAAAAAATATCTTCTGAATAATTAAAAGTGAAAAAGTGAGGTTTCTGTTTGAAAAACAGAAGTTTGTATTGTCACTGCAGGATTATTTTTAATTGGTACAAAAAATCTTTAAAGTATGGCATTCAAGTGTTTCAAAAAATTCCATGACACAGAATTTGAATACTTGGATGATGATTGAAGCATGATACATGCTTAAAAAATCATTTTATAACATAGGCGTACAGCACAAACTTATGTTTGTATCTATATACAAATTTTAAAATGCTTGTTTTTATTTTCATGCATGCATCATATTATGTTATATAGTATATTCGTGTGACATGTATATTTACACAGTTTAAAGACAAATGACAATTGACAACAGTATATAAAACAACCAATAACATTAAATTACCTTAACATAATATTGACACTGATGTTACCTGTTAAGTATAGGTAATGACAATAAATACAACCTACTTGCATATACGAAGTAATAGTACCTTACAATTAAACTTAATAAATAATTTTATTTATTTATATATTTTGATGAAATATTATAAAAGTAGAAGGTACTTTATACATTATAAAAATTTACATTACGATTCACGAGTATCATAAAAAATTAAAAAGCAGGTAATAATAATCATTTTACTCAAAATAGAATATTATTGAATTTTTTTTCAATAAAAATATAATATATGAGTTATGTACAATTATTATAATGTAATGTTATAATATATGCTCGAATATAATAAATAGGTAATCATTTATTTTATCACCGTTCACGTTGACGATCTTCCGCCAACCATCGATGATACGCTGCAATGTTATTGTACACGGTATAACTTACCTATATATTATTTTTATTATAACTTATAAGGTTCTACACGTATTTACACGTATCGAACCTAATACTAGGTATTGTTTAACGACCGCTGGATACAATCCATAATATTATTATAATAATATACAAACGGACAGTGTTCCTCTATAATTTCCGGGCAACGGTGGTTCAGAGGTTGACTTCGCGGAGTTTTACGTGGTTGTCCAGCACCTCGGTGAACCATTTCCGCTTGACCGGCTCGGCGACGAACGTGGACACGACTTTGAGGTGCAGCCCGACTACCGACTGCTCGTCCATGAGCGCGACGATCTCGTCGCACAGTTCCGGTCGGTTCTTGAGCGCGTACAGGCTAATGTACGTGTGGCCCAGCTTGGACTCGACCTGCAGGTTGGTGTCCACCCATTTCTCCACCGCGTTCGACCCGACGCTCAGCACCTGTCCCTGGTATTCGGTGTACTGTGGCGAAAGCAACAACGCCGTGTCAGATTCCGAACAGTTGTTCAGCACGCACTTGTAGAACTTGTTGTAGAACACCGGAAGATACACCAACACCTGTACACGTGGAACAGACGACGCCGTATAGTCATGATGTGGTTGTCATCAAAATAATATTATACCGAGTACGCCGAGTGATCCGTTTTACGTAAGACGCTCCGATATTTAAAAAACAATTAAAGATTAAGAATTTTTTTTACATAATCTCTAGTAGTCAAAACATAATTTTTCCAAACAAATATAATGTTTTACTACCTATATTTCATTGCTATCATTAAAAATTTTTTTTTACTTTTTATTCACAACATGTCATTTGCATTCATTATTCCGAAGCAGGAGGTTTTTTGGAGTACTTTGATTCATAAAAATCGAATTTTGGAAGAGTAGTTAATGAGTTATAAGTATTTAAAGTTGAATAAGTGGGGCGAAATAATGGTACAGGGATACTCTCTAGCAAAATTCCGATCCACTACTCCCCGCGCTCAAAACCATAACTTTAAATAATTATAACTAATAAATTACTTGTTCGAAATTCGATTTTTATAAACCAAACATTGGAATACTCAAAATACTAAAACTAAAATATGAATAATTGTTGAAAACATAATTTTTAACAAAACCATCGTTTTTTGTAAGTTATTTAAAATAAATATTATCAAAAACATAATTGTTTTTTGAAATACTGAGTGTCTTACTTTAAATGGATCACCCCGTATACAATTTGTATACATAATAATACTTAGGCATGTTGTATAATATGATAGTTAGCTATATATCTCATACGATAGCTTTCTCAAAATTAATCTCTGGAGGACAGAATATACTAAATATTATAGTATAAAATAATTTACAAGCCAAGACTATATTATATTACTATAGAAAAATGATTCAAATTTTATTTGTTTTCTATATTTACCTTCGAAGTTTAATTTTGAGATAGCCCTCATGTTATATTATTATATAATATTTTAATCAGTTATTATATATTTTATAATTTACTAAGCGATGTATGATACAGACCTAAACAAATTGTGATGATTGTACAATGTTTAGCAAGCAAGTGTTCTGTTAAAGGTATTAAATCATTTTTTTTCAAAATTAAGCTAACAATATACTAATATATTAATGTTCAAAATATTATGTTTAAAACAATACAAATTGTGTAGCTTTGTACTCATATAGTCATTTCTCATTAAATTATGTAACTCATAAAAACCGAATAACTACAGTAGGTACAGTATATGTTATAATATTATGTAGGTATAATATATAGAACAAACAATAAATTTAATTTCGTTTTTTTTAATCGACTATTATAGCCACGTTGTAGCTATTGGTATGTATATAAGAGAGTTTTAGCGCCTTTTAATAGAGTTCTAATGTCCTAATGATATAATTAATGCATATTTATGATATTGTTGTACAGTGATATCGGGAACAAAAATCAAAAATAAATTGTATACGAAATAAACTCGATGTCCATGTAGTATTCGGGTATTCCTATAAATTATAATCAATAACGTCAATAATAGTGAGAATGTGCGATCATGTATACATGAATATTATCACTCATAAAGTCATAACATATAATAACACCCACGGGAGTGGATATATTTAGTTGTAAACTTTAATGGCAATTAATTTTTAAGAATTAATGAATTAGTTATATTTCAATTCATGAAATCGAATGATTAGCTTTATTATGCATAAATATTCGCACTGAGAATGAATATGAATAAAATATGATATAACTGATATAAGCATTAAGCATTTTCAAACAGCAATATTTATTATTATAAAATGAAATTTAAAATAATGAATATTATTTTAGATTCTGCAGAGTGCAAATAAAATAAGGGAACCTTTGATTTTACAATGAGATTTGCTTCTTTCGAATAATTTTAATTATTTGTTTAATACTTTTCTGGATTGAAAGGCACTTTAATGGCCACCGCAAGTTTTTTTGTCAATCGCGTGTTGTTTTTAAGGAATAGTTATGATAAACGCTGAAGATAGAAATTAGGACAAATCTTGAAAAGAGCACATAAAAAAGCCGAAAATATAGTGTCGGACACTCCAATCCGCCGACAAATATTTCAGCTGATTATATACTTGTATTTTAGCCGATAGTATTTTATCACACAAATATTTTGTCAACAATATTATAACCGACAGCTAAAAATTAAAATACATTTGGTAAATTTTGACGGCTAAAATACTGTAGGCAACAATATTTTCTGACATATTAAAGCCTCACCTTGAGTTTTGTCCATTTGTAAACTATATCTGCTCAGTCTGCTCAATACATTGCACTATGATCTATCATAATATAATTTTATTATTGAAGCTTTGAAATTTAAAGACACTCATTGACCAGGATAAATTACCCAATAATAATTGTACCAAATTGTCAGTTAAAATATTAGTTGTGATTAGTAAGTGCTAAATATTGATTAAATAAAAAATTGATTTAATAATTTGTCTATTTTATACAATATATATGATGCGTTAGATTGGTAAGTTGTTATTTGAATTTGATTATTATTAAAGTTTAATATATGTATATATGATGAATGATGATTATTAGAACCACCATGGCACCATTGTGTTAGTGAAGGTACTATATAAGTTAATTTAAAACTATTCAAGATATAGTTAAGTGTTAACCTATCATGGCTATACCTGGAAAACAGTATCTCCTAATGTGTATTCATCAATATAATGTGATCCATGCTCTGTAATAAAATCCGTCACCATGGACTCTATACCAATGGACATACATTTAAATTTGTCGGATATTGTTGATTTTAATTCTGCTACTTGTGTAAAGTTGTCAAACGTTTTAATACGTTTCACCGGTCGCCTATAAGACACAATTACAAATTTTTGTCCGAATCCCATTGCTATATCAGGTACACCAAAACGTTCGGATACCATATGTCGTGATCTACTTGTTGTCAACAATTTCCATGGTTTATCAGATAGATCAACTTGAAATCCATCAAAATAAACATCAAATAGGCAGTCCAAATCGGGACAAAATGTGATGTTTAATAAATTTGTATGGTTTTTTGTCACATTTAAGACCTCGCTGAAAAAAAAAATATTTTTACTAATTAATAAGAAAAATCATTTGCCAAAAACTTGATAAATAAAAAGAAGTGTAATCCCTATGTCAAAATCATTATAGTACTTTATTATATAATTGTAAATACGCAAGATACAATATGTGCATCGATTTTTCAGTTATTTATAACTTATATAGGTATTTTAAGACTTACAAAAAAAAAAAAAAAAACAAAATAGATTTTTCCAAAACTAGTTTTGAGTAAAAATTTCCATTTTTAATAATTTGTCAAAATTAAAACTATCAACCTGGTACAATTTTCTACTAGAATCTATCCTCAATGTTGAAAATCGAAGCATTTTTACTGCTCCAGAATGATACACTGGAAAAAAGGTGGACCTACTTTTTTGAACAAATTAAAAAAATTTTTTAAAACTAACAGTTGACTAGTATTTGAAGGAAGCTAATTTTCAACTATACATATAAGGACCAAACCACTCCAAGCCTCTTCCTCGTGTTTACGGATAAGGAAATCTAAAATATTTTTCAACGGCACCTCAAATTGTAATTACAGCAGGAGCTTTATAATGGATAGATATAAAAAATAATAATTAAAATGTCTGCTAGATATAAGTGAATTTTTGAAATAACTACGACAAATAATAATACTGCAGGTCTAATTGTCGGGTACATAATTTTCATTTACTAAATTTTGGTTTCCATATCAGAAATGTAAGATATTAAAATTCAACCATATATGTATAGGCTAAATTAATATACAGAACCAAAAGAATGATAGTTTTACGAAAAAAAAATACTTTTCTAATTTCTTATCGCTGGCTATTTATGTCTGGTTAGTGGGGTTATTCAACTGCAGTCTAGAGGTCTTGGAAGTTCAAACCACAGCCGGTGGACCACATATACCTAACAATAATTTGAGTTAGACTGCTTAATCATGTTATATTGATAATATAATAATGTATTATAAATGCTCTTAAAAACAAGATGTATTCAACGTGTTCACTGTACATGGTAACAAAATATCAAAATGTATAAAACATATATGTAGATATCAGATATGGTATGTATAATAATTAATAATGTTTACAATCTAACTATACAATGTATATAACATATAACTAATATACTATAATATACTATACTAACTAGTAACTATATATATATAAATTTTCGTATTAATAGGAAACATTATCAAAACTGATCTGTGGCACACTGAGAAAAATATTGACCCGTAACTGTATAACACTGCATATCATTATAATTTACGAGTAGCGTATCCGTTCAATGAGGTGTGCCGCGGTCGATTCATTCAACATGGTTTATACCTATATGTTAATAGGTACAGCCTTTTATGGTTGGTCTGAAATGCAGTGGTATACGGTACAACTACTGTAGTTTTACAGTTATACAAGTCTGAAACTCCGAAGTCATATTTACGAATTGCGTGGGAGCAGTATTTGTTTGCGATTCACACCCACTCATTTACGTTAAACGTATATATCTGTATATCTAGAACTTTTGATAGTAGGTAGGAGGGGTTTGTTTAAGGTTTAACGGCCGCTACACCTAGTACCTGTACATAATGGACTTGGGATGGGCTGCATCACCTACTCCGTCAAATAAACACAAATTTAGTTATTTTTCATATACCAATCATAATAGTATTAGTTACTACAATATTAAGGGGTTTAATATTTCCAGTACAATAATAATTGTCTAAGACACCTGTAATCGTGGACATTTTACACCGGGATATTTCATTTACTGGTCTCGTGATTTTTATAAACGATGTACAAAAGAAGTCCCGCTGACCTTTAAACTTCTAATTATTTTGATTCAACACTAACCTATATCACAGTATTATACATTATGATATTTGTATAACATATTAACATACATAGGTACCTGCAGCTAGAAGCAGTACTGTAGTAGTATAATTCCAACGTCCAACATAATAAATAAATAAATGCATAAAAATATCAATTAATTTTTACCCTAAATCACGACAGTCAAGTGAATATTATTATATTTACAAATATATTTAGTTGATAATATTTGGCTCTCTATTGAGTGATATAGGTAATTGCCTGATATATTGCGTTATACATTAATCCTGGCCTGAAATCTATACATAGGTAATATATCCTAGAACAACCTATACAGAACAATAATATGATACACCGTATTTTGATTAAAGTGGTAATTTTAAACAATTATAATATATATTTTGTATGCAATAAGATAGGAGAATTTTCATTGATATCACTGAAATGGCCAAAATACTCCAAAATGAGAAGTCGAGGCAATTTATTTGTGAAGAAAATCAGTAGATAATAAAAAATGAAAACGTATTGTTTCATAAAATTGCGTTTGATTTTAACATTTACAAAAGTATACAGTTCATAGATGATAGATAATAATTATAGGCCTATTGATAAATTTATCGATCCCTATAGTACACGCTATTTTTACTACATAAGGTCATAACTGCAAATACTGATAATAGGTAAGTACATGCATGTGGTTATAGTTATCCGATGAGCGCATTAAGGTCATTTATACTATACTAATATACTATATTATACTATAATATTTAAAATGAATAAATACAATTCATACAGATTTACAACAAAATATAAATGGTTATCATTAATTAATTATTTAAATGTTGAATAAAGTTATAATTTATAGTTGAAAGAATAATATTTAACAAATATTCAAATTTTAATATAATAAAACAATTTAAAATGGAAATGTAACTTTATGTCTAGTTTTTTTTTCAAATATTCCATCAACTCCTACTAGGGTAATACTTATTGCGGTCGGTTAAACACATTAATCGTCTGCGGTATGTTTAATGACTTGACAGCAAGGTTTTAGTGGTATTATTTTTATTTAAAATTTTCATGACGTATAATATCATAAAATTACATATAGATATTTTTTCAACATTTTGTTGACAATCGAATTGAAGCTAATTTCATAGTTTTTTTTCCATTTTATCATTTTTATTCCATATTTTTACAGCGAACATACATGTATATAAATATATTTATGAGTGCTTACGAATCCTATTTCTAAGCATTATGATACTTAATTATAATTGTATATAGAACAAAAAATATAAACACATATAAGAAAACTTTATAAAAAACACGTATAACTGCTATATAAGTACTATGTTTATAACGATTTACTAAATTCAAGGTAAAATGTATGTATGCATAATATACTTTACGCAGTTTACCGACAAATCCACGATATAGGTAGCAAATGACAAACATTCAAATTTATTAATTTCCAATATAATTGTACGACCCTAGTAAGTACCATTTTTTTTAGTGAAGTCCTCGTAATAGTAGGTTTAATTATTACCTAATAGGTTAAAAATACATACATATAATCTATGAACTAAATTTGATAAGACGTTTGATATTTTTAATTCATTTTTCTAAATAATAAGTCTTAGTATTTAATAATTAATAAGTGTATTAGGTATTTCCCTAATATAATTTTTCCTTGAACTAACTTCAACCAATATAATTTGTAGTCTTTTTAGTACATTATATTACTATTTATTATAATTATAAACGACTTTTTTAAAACATTGGTTTTTATGAACGTACTAATAATAGTAATACCATTAATTGTTGATACTCTGTGGTGTTATCTATGATCAATAATCGTATTATTACACAAAAGAAAGTTTGAAGCGGACAAATACGTCTAATTCTTATACAATTCAATTATTTTACATCGACGTAATCATTATTTATTTAGAATCTTAAATTCTACTAGAATTGTTACTTTATTTCATTTTTGCAACCATGCGGCGAGTGGTATTTTTTCTCTTCTTACGGTACTATAGGTAAATGCAAGTACCTATGTGGTTATGTCCGGTTCCTAATTCTAATTTTACGTTTATGAAGTTTATCTTAACAATTATTATTCTACAGACAATTAATAATCAATAAATTATACGATTTGTATTGAATCGTTGTATGGCGATAGCGTTATTATTATCTTAAAGGTGTGTGCGACGTGCGTGCGTCTACACCAGCACAGCCTTTAATTAACGTATAATATTATGTATTGTAAGGTGTATAATATAGATATAATAATATTATATAGTACACTTATAGATTAAACTTAACCTAACATACCAATATCTATACGAATATTCGTCTTATCCAGGAGTCGGTTAATATATGATGTGTGTGTTAATAATTGTGAGTTTTTCTTATGTTACCGTTCATGCAACCGAATTCCAACTGAAGTATATTGAATTATCAAACAACGACTATTTGACTGCTATTTTTGACTAGGTTAAAGCACTGTTAAATGCTAATAGACTAATATTAGTAACGTGATTTGATACATGATAAAAATGTCCTTGGTTAGATTACTTAGATTTATCGATGTTCAATATTCTTTAATATTTTCAAAAATGACGTTTAACTGAAATCCATCCAGTTCATCTAGGCAACTGTCGCAATTATGCAAAAGCAGTGGTCCAAAAACTATATTTTTTCAATATAATATAATTTTCATAACTACTGATTTATTTTTAAATCGTAACGGCTGCCTGGACTCTACGAAACTCTACTTTGAAATCAAACTATTTTTTTTTAACTGAAACATGATACTAATATTTTGAAGTTCCTACCTAATTAGTACATAATATTTATTATTCCTGAAAAATTAACACACATTATCACGTCATCACAGGGAGTCGACAAATTGATGTAAAAAACGTTATTGACTTAACGAGCTATTTAAAAAAAAATTTATCAACGTGGTAATTTCAAATTAATTTTTTATAAATATATCTAAATCACGTTCAGTAGCACGCAGTTACCCAAAGATTTTTCCATCTGTCATCTTAGCAACAAAACGATTGAACAATTTTTTTTTGTAACTGTGGTTATGAAAATACAACGATAAATAGACTTGGTACAATTTTTAAGCACACTCACGTGAAACGATCGGCACCGTCGATTATGTCGTGTGTGACCGTCTCCTTGGTGTTGGACACGTCGCCGTACAGCACGTCGCCGATGATGCCGAACCGCTGAAGCACGTCCACGCCGCGACCGATGTCCACGTTGGCGGCCGCGTCCACTCGGACGGCCGCCCTCAGTACAAGCAGCAGGACCGCCGCGACGGCCAACGCGTCCATCGCGGTCGTCGGATCCGTGAAGTACAGGCACCGGGTGACTACAGACTGCTCTCGGCTGTAGCGAGATGCCGTCCGTCGCACGGTCTTCCGGTATTGGCCGTGTTCAGCAACCCGCAGTATTGACGGCGCCGTCCATCGCGTCCGGTCGGCCGCTGCGGCGTCGGAGGTGGCGGCTTGTATGATATACAATACAAGCGATGTATCGTATTGCGAGACCGCCAAGCGGGGGAGCGCGCGATCGTCGGAACTGTAAGCGGCGATTCCGTATGTGCGTACACGCGCTCACTGCGCGCACAATTATAGGTATCACTCGCGTATTATTGTTATAATAATATAATAATGTAAAAATGTTATCCCGCGCAATAATAATACTATCGTAGGTACACGCTATGGAGCAAAAACCGAATGAGATATCATTTCAGTACGGGCAGACGGCCGACGGGAATTTATTATTATTTTTGTTATATTATCGTGTGCGTGCGCGTCGGAACGTTTTGAGTCACCGCTCGTCTTATCACCGCCGGAGGTGTATCAAATTAATACAACAGTTTTATTATCGCGCGCGCGTTTTACTTATACCGGCTCGCGTACACAATAATTATTTTTATCGGAAGATAAACCGATCACCTCCGGTACCGTTCCTAGCTACCTATTACATGCCTTATGTAGTTATGTATTAAATTATTGTTGGTATAATATTATTGATAATTAATAATTGTGCATATTATTAATTATAATTATATATCATGCGCTCGCGTGATCGTTAGCCAGGGCGTGCGCGCCTAGCGTCTCCAATGTTTTCTTTCGTTTGCGAGGGATTTGGTAAAAAAAATTGTAATTTGATTGAATCAAAATAATAATTCATTCGATTGTTAGATATGTTTAGGTTAATCATCGTGAATCGTTACGCAGTAACTGATAAATATTGCAAACAGTTTTTTATTTTTTTGTTAAATACCAATGTTTAAATTGTATTATTGTTTCATAATAATGGTGAGATAATAGAAAGATGCGTGAATTGGCGTAGCTAAGATTATGAAATTGGGGGGGGGGGATTAAGTATAATTTAAACTAAGTTTTTACAATTATTATCGTATATATAAGTAATATACATAATACATTTATTAGGGGGAACAATGTCAATAGGGGGGGGGGGGTTAAACACACAAAACCCTACGCTACTGGGTGCGTGTAATAATTTGTCATCAATAATTTAAGAATATAAATTATAATGTCTATTGATACATAGCAGAGTTGACTGAGTTCTTGTTTTCGTAGACGGTTTATATAAACGCTACATATCAGCATAAGCCTAAATCGGCTAAATCCATTAAAATTTCAGAAGTCTAACATTTTTAACATCAATGTTAGTGGGAGGGGGGGGGCTCCGATCCCACACAACTAAATAACCGTATATATTACTGTTTATAATTGCGATTTGCGCCTATGAATATCAGGGGCATTCATACGACTTTCAAACACTGTAATGTTCGATTTGTGTTTCACATTTATTTTAACACCGTACGTGGTACTCAAACTATTATAAATATTTTTATTAAAATGTGCCATGTCAAAATAAGTCGAAGAGCTCAACATAAATTCTCATTGAACATTCGCTGAAAAAAAAACTCTATTAAAAAATAAGAGTTGTGATCACATGCACATTATTTGAATTAGTATACCTATACCTAACCTATCTGAACCGACTGAACCTTCATAATATTGTTTAACAATATATTAATATTATGTTGATTATTGTTCGCTCGTTCGGTCTTTGAGATTATTGAATAAAATAATGAAATAAAATAGAACATTATTCAGCTGTGGGTACTTCATTAAGAACAATGTATACTATAAAATATGTATTTGACGATGAAGTTGCACATCGCTCAAGTCTCGCTCACATATCAGTCAATGACCAAAGAATTGATGATGATAATATACATCGATGACGTCGTTTCATTAATATAGGTACCTACATAGGTATAATATACACCAGGAGTGGCTTTTTTTATAGAAATTGTATGTTATAGCCATCGACGTTGATGCAGGTTTATTGTTCATCGTGAGTTTGACCTTTGTCTAATGCATATAATATGCATAATAAAACCGACAACGGTGGTCACTCGTAAATGTAGTCGAAATAATTGCGCTTTAGATAGTGCGAATGTATATATATATATATATATATCTATAATATATTATATATTATTACATAATATTATGTTTTACACACAAATGATCATATGATTTGTATACCTATTATTATCCGATAATTTGCAATCGCCTATAGTATTGTTGATATATTATACGAATACGTTTATATATACCGCGGTGTATAGGTATACAATTTTATAGATAGGTAGGTACTAATGGTACTATATATTATAGTAATATAGTTCACACCTCAAAAGTCCTAAAACTATTTACCTAACCGGCTAACCCAATTTCCCAATTCTATGTATATGAACCAATTATATATAGATCGTGGTAGTATAAGTACTCATAGGCGCAAATAGGGTGAGGTCTTTAGGGATTAAGCCCCTAAAATATTACATACAATAATTTTAAAGCTTATTGAATATTATTAAAGCAGAGCTTCAGCCCCCTCCCAAAATCCCAAACGCTATTTATGCCGATATAGATTGTAGGTAGGTACTATATTACATGCATAATATTGTATACATAATATAATAGTCATATTTTTAATTAAAAATCTATAGTTGATACTTGATAGGTATTTATACTAAAAATCAAAGCTACACTAAAACTGATTATGATTGGTTTAAACGCATACCATTTCAGTACTGCAACGTAATAAACATGCGAACAATTATTATTTATAAGAACATACTTTTCTCGACCTATCGCATTATAAAAGTGTTAACATAGTGATTTCTTCCAAGTCCAAGAAATTAAGGACATAACTTTCAATAGACAAGTTAGAACACCGATTTTGAAACATTGTAGTTCGCAATCTATTTTTTACAACTTTCATTTATGAAAACAATTATTCTACACTACTATTTGAAACCAAATACTCAAAGCATTTCTAAATTCTGAAAATTAACTATATAAAATGGTTATAGCAAAGTATCCTGAACAAAAACAGTTCTCATGAATTTTTTTTTACAATCTTTTGTGCATATAAATTTATCAAAAATTATACTTAAGTAGTTCGATTCTTAAAGATGATTCTAAAGCATCTGATTATATATTGACCTGATTCGTGGCAGAATGTAATATAATGTTTTACATTATTGTAATACATGTTTCATATTTCCTAGGTAGCTGAAAATACCTGAATTATTGACATTTTATGTCATAGACTTTCATCCTTTATCAGTAGACTGGGACAGGAAGTCAGGAACAGAAAAGGTGATTGATTTTTCCCCTGAGTGACAACGGTGTCGTGTTAAGTGACAGTCACGAAATAAAAAAAAAACAACAAATAGATCTCAATAGTTAAATATTATATTCTGTTAATGAAGTTGTGACAAACAGAGTGATGATAACTTTACGTGGGTACCTTAATCATACGTCTATACAATATACTCGTATTATAACCTAACCTATCTGTTCCCAATATATTTTTTGGGGGTATTGACCGAACGTATGAAATATTATGTGGCAAAATTATACCTATGTACAGACTAAAAACCTTAACACGTCTTCACACGCACTCACGATTATTCAATTTTTTTAACGACAATTGTTTTTTCCCAATAGGTGCCAGCTATGTGTTTAATGTTAATTGCATTCGTATGTAAATAAATAACATTAATTATAATACAAGTTTAATACGTATATATTTATATATTGTTATTTTTAATACCGTAAGTTTTTATAGTATTTATAGTTACGATATACGCTCTGACGTTCTGTCCATATTAAATTGACGAAATGGCTGTGTGTTGACCACCCCGGAAGATAGAATTATTAATGCTCTATGTATAGGACATAGGTAAAACATATTTTGTTAATTATAATTTATAACTCACTTATAAGTACCTAATATTTGGACTTCAGTATACCAATCAACAAGTAACAACTATAAAAAATTGAAAATATTATATGTACCTGCGAGGCAGCTTTTTATTATTTTGAATACAAATCATGCAACAAAATAAATATTTTGATACGATTTCTCAAATAAACTTACTTGTAAAGTTATTTAAATGAAAAATAATGAAAATAATTTGTGTAACGTTATTGTAATCATATTAACACCATTGATTTATTATTGTTTTCGGTTACTTCTCAAATCAATTTTACGAGTCTAAAATGTGACACCACTTATGGTTTCAATTAAGTGCTAAACAACCGAGTAGGTACCTCCCCACCATTACCCGTCAGTTGACGGCGATAAGAAAAATAATGATATGATTACTCATGAATGTTATGGTTAATGAATAATGAATACCTATACTATATTGTATAACAAATTATATTTACCTCGTCAATGAGTGATGAAATAAACCGTATTCAATTGTATGCACGTGGATAAGTACCTACCTTATAGGTAGGTACTATTGTCGAAGCTAGTGGTTTTTTACCTATAGTTTAAATACATAAAAAAAAAATTATTATACTAATATAATATAAATAATGTATAATTGCAAATTATTATATTATTTGCTAATAACATAACATAATAATACATTAATAGACCTAGTGGGGTAATAGATGAAGTACAATATACAAATGAAAAATGACTGAAAAAGTAAAATTTTCAGACGTATGTATCCATGTAAGTTGACGAACATGAAAGTTTAAAAACAATTCGTTTTATAAAACTGTAAAACTCCACATTTTTATACTTAAATACTAGATGCGATAAAATGTGATACACAATAAACTCAATATTATATAAAAACTCAAAGGTACTATATTTTACTTTAATTTTAACACTTTATTTTCATCTTTGATTACGTAGGTGTTTAAAATAAATATTGCGATTGGTTTGTATTTATGATACATATAGTTAAACAATTGTTAACAATATTTTATTGCTTAAATTATAAATTTATTGATATTATTATATTACATATATAATGCTTATATTAAATGACCAAATAACTAATAAGTTATCATTAGTCTGCCAAGTCATAATTATTTTGTTTTATTCTCAACTAATATCATATAAATTATAAAATAACGAAATGAAGCTCTAGAATGAAAAACTTCATAAAAAAAAATGTTTACAATAATAACTTGTAAGTTAAAAATTATTACTAGTTTCCTAAGTATGTTTGATTTAAATGTAGTAAATGTTTTAATGAAATTAAATAAGTAAAGTAGTAGTATCATAAAATGTAAAATGTAAATATATTTGAAGGGCTATGAAGCATCTATAATTGATGTTATTACATTATAAAATGGTGTATGAAAATGTTATATTGATATAATGTTATGTACCTATGTAGGTATGTTTGATATCAAACTATTACAATGAACAAAAAATAAAACAACTTACATTTTTTTATCAAATTGATTTAAATGTTTATTGACATTTTTATTTCCATGACAACTGCGGCTAAACATATTGCTGAACAAAACCATAACAGGTAGGTAAAAGTACGTTGCTCCTGTTTGATAGTACAGGACGATCTTTCGGATTGGCACAAACAAATGGTGACTAGGTGCATGTTTTAAAAATGTCTGTTCTTACATTATTAGTTTTTACTATTTCTGCATTATTATTAGGTAAGTTAATTATACAAACGAAGAACGAAAGTGAACATTTGATAATTGTATAACTATAAACTATGATTTTATATGATACAATGTATAAAAATTGTTTTTATTTAAATGCAATTTTTATTTCTTAAACATATACTTACTATAAACCAAAGTTCAACCTTAAAACTATATAATATAATGACAATAATTTATACTGTAATATTTCATTTAGTCCACCCTATAACAGCCGTTGATGAAGTATATATATCACCATTCATCTATGACGTACAAAATAATACTGATACAATAATTCATATAAAAGGATTGGCATCTACAGTGGACATGATCAAATCAATTACATGCAATGTAATGGATTTGGATTCCCAAATCATTATGGTAACACAATTTATTTTATAGAATTATACGAAAAATGGAAGTAATCAAATCTTTTATACTGTCCTAGTCATCTACGATCAGAACTTTTAAGCGCCTATTTAAAAACAAAACTCGTAGATATTGTTCAATTTTTCCAAATATTTTCCAAGCTTGTAAATAATCTGCAGTTGTAGTATAGAGGGGCAAATTTATGAATTATTTATGGAAAATATAAAAATTATTAGCTACACATGTTTTTAAATTCCTATAGCATGTTTGCATTTTTGTTCTAATATGTATAGTTCACATTAAAATATGGGCTTCTGCAAATTTCAATGAACCAAGTAAAGAATATTGTTAAAAGTAAATTTTATATATTTTAAGTGTCAACAATTAGTAGTAATAATTAGAAAACTCTTAGGATGGTTCTAAGCTCTTACCACCTCTGGTTAAAGTTAACGGACACTTAACTGGCGGAATTCTGCCGGCAGCAAAATCTGTTATCAGCCGGTTAGCGTTAACCGACACTTAACCGCGGACACTGTAAGAAACTCCTTATAGCGTTGTCTATTAATTAATGAACTAAATGAATATATTCATATTATTATTATATATATTGTATATTGTATATTTCAAGGTAAAATTAAAATGCATTGGAGTTTTGAAAACTGTATTTAATTTAAGTTTAAGATTGGATATGTTAAAAATGTATCATTATTTCTGTTTTTATAGAAAACTGATATAAATCTAAGTGACACGTTTACGATATTGGCCCGATTCGAAAATCCAACAGCCTTAGGTGCTTTTAAGATACAATGTTCAAAATTCGGTTCACTTATGAACTTTTATGGTAATTTTTTACTTGTTAATAGTCTACATTTAATAATCGGAAACGTTGAACCAAGTACAATAAAATTAGGAGAAAGTGTTTCAGTAAGTATATACAATGCATATTCAGTCACTCATAGAACCAAAGGTACCTACGTACTAGGGGCGGACAAGCCCGGGGGAACGAAGGCAGATCCGGTGTCCTTCCCCGATTTTCATGTATATGGCCTAATTGTCTATAAAAATAATCATTTTTTTTTTGGGGGGGGGGGTTTAATTCTTCTTAGCCTACCTATAAAATGTCTTGGCCTGAAATAGTCCGCCTCTGGCTTCAGCAGTATTGCACCCTAATATCATACCTATAGGTATATAATAATAAATAATTTTTTTTATGTTCAAATTACATATAAAGTTCAAACTTGAAATATTTAATTTGAGTGAGCCTGTCCCTTTATTATGTCATTTAACTGACGGAGAAGATTATGTCATTTTACCCACGAACTCGATAAATGGAAATAAACTATCTACATGGATTACATGCCCCGAGTATAAACTTAATAGAGCCACTGAATACCAAATAACAGTAGTATATTCAACGGACGCAATTGATGCAATGTTAAGGTATGATAAAAATATGTTCATAAAACTAACTTATTGTAAATATATTTTTTAAAAACATATTCTTTTTATAAAAATAGCCACTGAGCACATTAAGAGATTATTGTTTAACGTTTACCGGATTACTTGAAAAATATCTATATAGATAATAATAATAGATTTACATCAAACAATTATATTACTTACCTATATATTTGTATTTATTTTATAAGATATCTTATGCTCTAGTTCGAACAATTTCAAAGTAGTGACCGTTCAGGCCGATCGTCCAAAAGTGATGAAATCCGGATTTACTAAAGATTTGAGAACTATTTGGTTTCAATTTGATCAAAATGTAGAGGGACCAGACTCGTGCGATGAAATATTCATGCCAATCACATTCAATCAAATTGGTCACGGTATATTTAACTTTTATAATTGACAATAGTTGAACGTTTTTAGTTGTTAAATAATATTATTTAAATTATTTGTATAGACGCTGTTTGTTGGTTTTCTTCAGATCATTTAACGGTACTCTTAGGAAATGTGAAAACTATTAAAGAAAACAGACTTCATATTCAATTTTCTTCAAACAATAATATAAGAAGTTACCGGTCGTGGCCTAATTTGAGTTCACCTATGCAAAATATTGAAATTATTGTACCAATAATTCCTTCTGAGGTGATTAATTAGTTTTTACTCAAAATTAAATTGTTTATTAAATCGGTTAAAATATAACACGTATACGCACAAATGATACGGATTAAACTGATATATTAAATCGAATATAGTTGATGCAATGCAACACATTTTTAATTTATTTAAGATTTTAACTCTAGAAAACGTAAGGATTGCTAGAATAAAATAAAATAAAAATTATGTTACAAACAACATATTATCCATAAACAATTATTTTTTGTTCATTCGATAATTCATAATTCAAGTTTTCTGAATTTATTATAAAAATCGAAATATTTTATTTAAATTTATGTACCTACGTTAAAATTGTAATTGGTCTTAGGTATATGTGTATTGTGTATATTATTATTGTATAGTTGTAGTTTGTGCAGAATATATTAAAGTAAGAAACTAGATACGTTATTATCAACGTCCTGCAGGATACAGGCAAAGCCGTGCCAAGGGGGTGGCAAATAGGGCCAGTGCCCTAAGGCAACAAGGGTTGTAACTTTTTTAAGGGTGGCAAATGTTTAATAGAGGAGAAAAATAATTCCCTACTTTTGTTAGCACGACACTGGATACAGGTATAACTGTATAAGTGTATAATACTATATTATTTATTATTTTATTCAAATAAACGTCGTTTGTAATCATTCGCACTAATCTATAGACTCAAAATTATCATTTGAATAATACACATAGTTATGATAGTTAGTGATTACAGATTCAAATAATAACGATCAAGTATGTTGTTAGGTTACATTGCCGGTATATTGGCTGAATGGACCTCGACAATTCTGCAATGTTGACGATGGTGTCATCCTTGGAACCCAATCTTCCGATCAACCTATATATGATTGTACTGGTTCACAAGTCATAAGTGTGTCCACGTCTGGTTCACCTATGCTCAAGTTTAGTCCGATATTAAGCTTTAATGACCTATCAAACTCTGCACATATGTCAGTGGATGAGTCTTCACAACGATCCTCTTTAGTGAGAAACAGTGTCAGGAGTCTTGTGATAATGATAAATCAACAAAACCTCACAAACAGCGTTTGTTTAAACAGTGCTTTGGTAATTTTTATAAAAACCTAATGTATGAATATATTTTGATGTACCTACTATGGTTCATTGAACGGTATTGTTCACTTACGCATTTAATTTGTCACAATTGCCTTTTGACAGATGTTGCCATACGTAGAATATACTTTAGAATTGTCGGGAACAAATATTTTAAACCAGTCAGGCTTGAAAAGTCAATTCAAATTCAAATTAATCGAAACCCATGGCATTAAATCCAAACCAAAATTGCAAATAATGGCACGTCCAATCGTTGCGATCGGATCTGAAGCTATATTTGAAACAGTGTTATATCCGATTTGCGGAGAACCAATCGAGGACGATTATAATAATTTACAAGTAAAATGTCTTATTAAATAATATGAACAGTACAATATATTAATATATATCAAATACCAAAAAAGAGTGAAACTCGCTTTGCTGTTTAATTAGTTTTGATTGTATACCTACAATGATCAATAAGTGTAAGTCTACTTTGCGTACCTAATGATAGATTTGTTAAATTTTAATTTAATGATAAATCATTATAAATGAATCTGAGCGAAGGAGATGGATGGTTCGGTATCTAATTCTAATTCTAATTGATTTTGTATTATAATAATCTTATCATAGTATTACATTATAGACTATAGTATTTTTTTTAATTCGATAGGCTGAACAAATGTTTTCCGTAACTTTCAGATTTTTAAATTATAAGCAAAGCCAAATATAGGTACCATACCATAGTATGTGATTATAGGTATAAGGTATATACTATATACTATATATCATGATACAATAGCTTAATATACATATAGCTTAAAATAAGTTAAAATATTTTGAGGGATTCTTTAGGTAGGTATAAAAAAATAAGTGTAATGGTGATAAATAGATAAAGTTTCTTTGTCTCAAGTCTCTACAATCAATATTTTTTAATTAAATCCTAAGTATTATACTACATTAATATTTAACGAATTAATGAGGACGTTTTGATAAAAATTTTAAATTATGACCATTTTGTACTATATTTTTATAAGTTGTCTAGTTATCTAATTTTTTTTACGCGTTAGGTACTTAACATGTGTTGTGATCGTGATTTTTTTTATAAATAACCTTGCATTATAAATATGTTTTTCTGAAGACTACGTAGGTACACCAAATTCCTAGTGTTCCTTATTGTAACAATGTGACTTGTATACGTACTGAACATAATAAAGTAATGTTATTATTTTCGTTTTACGGCACGTAAATTATATCTGATTCCTTATTAATATTATTATTGTTTCGGATTTTCAATTCCTCAGATATCACTATTTTATCTTTTAATTGAGCTATTATTATTATTATTTATTTATTCAAATGGGTAACCGAATTTTATCAATTTATATACAATTTTGTTTGAGGTCGCTAACATTCGTTAAATCTCGCCTATATAGTATATACATAACATCATAAAGTAATCATTTCGTAACGAACATCGGAGTATGGCATAATATGTATTACATTTATTTATTATATTTTATTCACTGATTTAAAAAAATTTACATTTGTATTAAGACTTTAAAGTTTAAACTTTGTTGAGTTATTTGCAAAAAAAAAAGCCACAGTGACATAATATACCTAGGTACATCTTAATTTTTTGTGTTTACCAATGTGTGCTTTTTCAAATAAATACTCATATTTTTAATTGTTTGTAATACTCACACATTGTATTGATGAAATATATCTCCGTGTGTAGTATAATTGGTATTTTATAACCGAAAACAGTAAATACAATATCATCGGAGTGAATGGTCCAGTATTGATATTAGATACAAAAGGACTAACTCGAGGCAACAATTATACAGTCGGTTGTGAGTTGCATAATGACATCGTTTTCCTGGAAAAAAAAACTACAGCAATGGCCAAGGTAAATCTATACGATATTAATACAAGTATACTTATTTAATTTTCCATACATCTACAACTATACCTAAACCTAAACCTTCCGTTTTTAGTCATATATGTATATTCTATCATCTACGATACTTATTTCTTTTTTTAAAATTATGTATATATATATAAATATAAGAAACTATTATACCTATTACCTATACATAATTCAGCAATAAGTAACGTAGATGAGAGAATATTTAGAACAATTATGGCTTGAAATGCATGAAGAGGAGACTATATTTAGCAATACAACCTTAGAATTTAAAGTTTAGACTTTTTTCTTTTATATTTTATTATGAAATATAGTCCAGTTTTAATATGATGTAGAATTAAAAACTAAGTGTTTGCTTGGGGGAAAAAGTGTACGTTTCAAAATAATGTCATCATTTATTACTATAATAGGTGTTAGAAACATAAAATAAAATGTATTGTGTCTAATAAACAAATTGTAAAAGAAATATAACTTATAATATCTGAATACTTCTGGGATTTTAATAGTAACTTCTACTATCAAGTGATAAAAAAAGTATAACTACGTGGAATAGGGGTGAACACAGGTCCCTTGTTCCCCCTTAAAAAATAAAAATAATACGCCCCGGTAATTTGATTGTTTTCTAATGAACAGTAACTATATTTAATGCAATTTACCTCAATAGAATTCTAACATGTAAATATGTATTAAAATAGTAATAGTAAAGACTGTAGTAGATCAACAATAAAAATATGTACCTAAAACCAAAACATTAGATAAAACTGTAAAAAATACTGATAAGACATTGTGTGTATAATATATCAAAAATGTATATTACCTCAAGTCAAGTACGTCATTCATATCGTAGATTTTAAACAATTGAAATAACATTGTAACTGGTAAAATAATATTTATGTATAGCTATATTATAATATGGGTCGTACGGTCGTCGTTTGCGTACTATTATAAAAGCTTATCAGTTATTAGCTTCATTAATATCACTCGAGAGCAATATTGTCTATATTAAGCAATAAATTATTGTTTTTGACCCAGGAGTAGTTTTTTGCAGTTAAGTCAATAAATGGAATATTAACGATTTGTACAGGGCGGAGATAAGCTCAGGTTATAAATACATGGAATTCTCATAATATTTCGACCACGTGTACCTTACCTACATAAATAGTTTTGAATGTTTAATCAAATAATCAAATGCCCGGAAAAATGTTAGTCATGAAAAACGATTAGCAATCGACGTTGTCTTTATGAAACTCTTTTTAAATACCAGTATTGGTATTCTAATTGTTTTGATGTAAAAAGACATTTGAAGTCTTAAAACTGCTAGTTATGGATTTCAATTTTAACTATAAATTTAGGTATAACTGATTAACTCTATATATATATATATATATATATATGATCTTGAATTGTAATCTTTTGTATTCATTATTTGTAAAAAAATTTAAACACCATTCATTTTTATTCATTTTAAATTTTAAGACAAATACAATTTTATAAATAATTAAAAACAACAACTATGTGCCTACTTATATAATATATAAATAATATTTATATGATTAATGATATAGGATGAAATCCAATTTGGAATTGAATCGTTTGATGCAAAAACAATTGTTGTGCCACAACAAATTGTGGTTGGGTTTGGTCGGCCCATTCACTTAAGGATAAAACATCAAAATTATGTAACAATGAGAGATATACAAGTATGTTAAAAACTGTTATTTTAAATTCAACCTTCCACAAAAACATATACATGTATATAATTAAATGAATTCAGTTTTCCTTTGATTGTTTTCAATAAAACATTTTTATCTTTATATTCGTATTTATGCATTCATGCATTTTGCTACTAATAATTATAACACCGCAATGTTTGTTTGTTATAGTATAAATGGCTTTGCAAAACAACTAATGGCGATGATTGTTTAATTGTCGGAAATTATCCTGCGTTAAAAGAAGCTATGGATGAAAAGTCATCATCAACATCGTCAGAATTAATAATTCGTGAATTAACATTGCAGCCAGGAAGGTATTTCCCTTATTTCAAAATTCAAATTATGTTTTGAAGCTTTTATGAATCGATTTTATTCTATTGATTTATATAAATTCACTCTTGGTAATATTTATGCTTTTAGTATATATATATTCTGTCGTTATGTTTTATTTAAATTTAAAACGATGTGAAAAATTATATATATATAATATAATTATGTATATGATGTAATTTATGGTTTAATTTAGTCTTTTTTGTTTGTAATTTTAATTACATACAATTATCATTTAGGTATTACTTTGTGGTTCAAATATCATTAAGTGGTGTTCCGATTGACTCAGCTGTATCCGTGGTTGTGGTTTCTTTTGAATCTGGTCCACATATAATGTTTTATTGGCCAGATGGAAATTTCAACCCAAGTATACCTGCAATTCCCGGAAGTAGTATCGTGATGGCCGCTACTGTCTCTTTTTTAACTGCCAGTTGCTTAACTACTTGGACTACGTCATCAGATTCTGGATACAGCTATTTAACGTCAAAACAGATGGTAAATACAGCGCTGTTGTTACGATTTGTGAGGCCTTAGGCAATTACTAAATTCCGAGGCCCCATAATTTATTGTAAAGTAAAACCAATAAAATGTCCTGTCAATAATCCTATACAAATTAAAAGCATGAATGTCATTTAAGATTTATTGAGCTTAGACCTCTGAGGCTCTGAATTAACTTGTACTGTTTACCTGCGTCTATGACCAAAAATGTGTAATTATAATACTTCTGTAGAATTAAATCCAACTGCGGATAGTTACGCAAAGCAACGTGAAGTTGGTTATAGTAAATGAGTTAGTCAGTCAAGACAACTTCTCATATATGTATATTATATATATTTAAAAGAAAAAACAATGTTCTTTAACAATTTTAAATTAATAAATTATATATTTTTTTGCATAGGCTATATTATTAAGCCTAAAAAACGATAATTAACTAAGAACAAAATATGATTGATCATCATAAAAAATTTTAATTCGATTATTGTGTCATAGTTTTAGTTCTGAGGCCATTTCGTTTTCTTTAGATAAAATTGCTAATCCAGATTATATGATTTCCGTTATTGTATTCCTCAAATATGTTTTTTGAGCTTTAGTCATGATCTCTCGACGCTAGTAGAAGTACCTACTTTCCTAAATGGAATCGTCAAAATGATTCAAATGGCAATTTAAGTATTATGAAAAGAACTGCTAGCTTTTTTTGTAATTTCTAATGCTTATAAGGTTAGGTAGGTACTGCATTACATTTTAATTATACAACAATATAAAATATAAATTGAAACTCAACAGCATAATATTTTTATTATTATACTAATGTACATTGTACAATCATTCAATTAAAAAAAGAATATCAATACAATAAAATAAATTTAACAAAATATAGTAAAAACTACAATTAGTGTTGAATTTATTGTAGATAATTTTTATTTAATATACACTGATCATATTTTATCAATCAATCAACAGTTCATAATTATTAATTTGAGTGTATAATATTATATAGGGTGGAAAAATGAAAGTCATTAGAGAATTCATGCCAGGTCGAAATGAAACATTCTCGCATGATATTCGCATTGCGGTAACATTGCCAAATAAAATTAACCAAAATACAGATTTCTTACTGAAACTTAATGTCCATTGTGCTTCTTTGAAACATGCAATGTTTGGGGTTGTGCCGATTTCAATAGTTGCTCCACCACGAATATTCAAATTAAAAGTATGTGTTTTGATTAACTCTATTGTAGTTTTAATTTAATAAGATAAATAAATTAGACGTTAGTAATTACATTACATTATGAGTTTATGATCTATATAAATTAATATTATTAATTACCAGGTAATACCAAAAGAAGGAATTGGTATTTTGACGAAATTCAAATTTTACACCGATTCAGCGTATGATAGAAAATCTAGTCATCCAATCCGATATAGTTTTGGATTTTATCTACCAACATTTACTACCGTTCCAATATATTTTTACTCATCAACTTTCAGGTTGCAAACAGAAATGATTCTCCCGTCAAGTTAGTAAAATATTATTGTATGTATAGATCGTATCAGTGGCGTATTTACGGGGGAGGAGTAGTGTTCCTGGACCCATAGATATACACCATCTATAAAAAAAAAATAGAACCTTATAGATTCTGAGCTGAGGGAAGAACAGTTAAAAATGTATATACTTTTAAATTGTAATACCTATAAGACTTAAAAATATTTGATTATTTAAATTAAATAACAATTGGTTTTTTTTAACATTAAAATGTTATAATCACCAATTGTTATACAGTAAACAATAAAATCTAGTATCTAAGTATAAACATATTATACGAATTACATATACTAACGTAATGTATTAAGTAAAATCATGGCCCATATTAGTAAATCTCACGTAAATATAAGATAACAATTAAGAAGAGACAGAGTTTTCTGGCCGTAGGAAATCGTAAATACGCAACTGAGACGTGAGCAGATGTTTATATGTTTGTTTTTACAACATAGTTTATTCAATATCTTATTTATGCAGTCAATTTGGACACAATATCAAGGATCAAAACTATTTTAAAAGTATGCAACGTTTACGAAAGTTGTAGTACGATTGAAGGTCCAGAATTATCTATCCATCATCCAACACAGGTTTCAGATGAAGACATAACGTAAGGTTATTTTATAATAATATAATATTCTATATAATCTTATGGTATTCAAAATGTATAGATTTTACAGTATATTTTTTACCAGAATTTAAAAAAAAGTTATATTCGTAATTGTTTTGATTAAAAACGATGTTACTATATACTGAAGTTGAATAATAATGTATAGTTATTAAAATATTTTTTGTCTTTTGTGTAGGTTCTTTGTACAAAAATACAGCAGAATGTTAATGAAACAAATGCTAACTGAATCAGAAGCATATTTATTCACTTATATGACAACATTAAAATCATTAAAAACTGAAGTCTATGAAAAAACTGCTAATGAAATATTTAATGTTATTTCAACACATATCAATAACGACATTATAGAAAGGTATACCCGTACTATTGTTTTTTTAAAATTTTTTTTTTACATAGAATTTTCATAATTATTTAGTTAGAAACAATAAACTATTATCAATTATTATTATTATGTATACTAAAATTGTATAGCGTATCCTACGGAATTGAATACATTCCATTTGGTCTGGCACTTTTAGATTCAATTTCTCGTACCTTTTTTGTGCTTCCAAAGTTTAATAATATAATTGTTTCACAATCGTTAGTGTCATTACGGGATCGGATATACGCTAGATTAATAGGTAGGTACTCAATTTTGGTAATAATAAAACAGAGTTTGTATAAAAATGTATTGATAATTTTCGCAGCCTACGATAATGCACCAACGTCAAATGCCGTAAATAACATGAGATACATCTTAAAAAATGTGAATTCTAATATGCAAAATATTTACTCGCAAACAGAAATAAACACCGAAGTGGTACGTTTATTTCTATGTATAGCAGAAGATTATAATAAACTCCAACAGAAGTCTGTATTATATCATGTCAATTATTAGGTGAAATCATTTTTACAAGTCTCGGAAATAGTTATTTTAAACAAGGACGACGGACCGGATGGATTAAATGAAAAAAAAAAATTGCTTGATAGTGTTGAAAATTATGCTAAACATGTTTGTTTGACATTAAATGAAGCACAAGAAATATATGTGGGTTAGTTAAAGGAGAAATACATTTTCAAAATTGTGCTAAGAATATGTTATTAAAACGGTAAATACATTTATTTTAATTTTAAATTGTATTATATAGGATCATTAGTTGGAAGTTTCAGCGTACGGCAAGTAAACGGCGTCAGTTCAATAGAACCATATATTGAGATGCCTACTTGTAATTCGGAAATCCACAAAAAATGCATCAAACAAAAATCTAAGGTAATTATTTTTTTACACGTCATTTTTTTCTGTTATATTTCAACAATCATAAAGTTTAAACTTTAAACAAAATGTACACTAGTATAAAATATTTTTTTCATCTATGTATGGAAAAATAATAAAGTCATTAAAAACAAACTATCTAATAGCAAATAATTATTGTTGAGGCTGGAAATTTAACACCCCAAAAAAGGAAACTTCTCTATATAAAAAAATGTGCCTTAAAGACTTAACAATAATTAACTTAAAATAATATTCACTAAAAACTATAATTACAACGCAAATATTAGGTATACAAAATCATTAAAATACATTGTAGTATTGTCATTGTGCGTATATCTGTAAATTAATTTTAATTATTTGTTGTGATACATTGATGTTATTTTAAAAATTGATTTGGCTTATTTGTGTTCACAAAAAAATCATAAAAATGAAAAAGTGACCTTAAAATCGTAAAAAGTATTCGGAACAATAACTCAACATAACATGAGAAACCAATTTGTATTTTGTACCCATACGAGCTTCGACGTCTTTAAAAAAAAATACAAACGTTTAAATCTCAGCTCTAATTGTCATATTATTCAACTGTTACAATACTGTTCTAAGGTAATAGATAACGTAAATATTTCATACATGTATACATTTTTATTAGCTTCCAGTATATTTTACTATAAATAATATGCTTGATCGTATTATTAAATACAACTAGGCATATAGGCATATTAGTATAATATAGTTTTAAAATTAATTAATGAATACAAATAATCTGTTAGTGCTGAAATCGATATTGTACGATAATGGGACCTTTATTATCTAATAATTTTCCCGGCTATAATGATATCGGCTCTATGCGGTATAACGCATAATATGCCATATTATAACATGTAAGTTAGGTAGTTCAACATTGAATCCCCGTGCGAACATATTACGTGCGGTGTTAAAATAAAATATAATACAGTCCACTATTTTGAAGTTTTATTTTTTTCATATCTTAAGTTAAGTTTTATAATATATAAGTACTTAACATAATCAATATCAGATTTTATAATTGATTAAATACGTTTTAGAAACAACTTTAAGCCTTCGTAGTATATTCATACCTAGTAAATTCACATATGTACCTATATGTGTGTAGTGTGTGTAATGTGTATAATGCTTTTGTATATTAAATATAAATTCAATATGTGTCTTAATATAGTATATTAATTTGTGTACGTAGTTATAATTCGTTTTTACAGAATTTTCTAATTTTTTTCTACTGTAATAATGCAATGATAATTAAATAATGGGTTTGTTTTTAATTTAGGTTATGATCAATAAAAACCTTTTTTTATCTCATAGAACTGAGTTTCCATTATGTTTTATGGGTTTTCATTTCTATGACGATTTTTTCACCCAAGTGTACGGTAATAAAGGCCAATTTCTTAAAAGGTAAAAATTGTTAATTAAATATTAAAAACACATATTATTATATTTATTACTATTTACTATGTAGGTACTATTAAAATATCATAGACTTATATATTTATCGAATTACATATTTTTAAATTTGGATAAACTTTGGCAACTGTGGCTATTAGATTTTAAATTTCAAACATGATCAAAATGTTATTTAACATTTTAGTTTATTTGCAATCTACACTACACTATACAGCTAAGAATAAGTTTGATATTGCTTTGATGAATAAAATTAATTATGATTTGATGTTATACTGGATGAGGGATTTTGACAGGATGTTGGAAATATTGGCTTCCCTTTTCTCATTATAGTAGCCACAGTCTGAGGTTAAAATATGTTTGACTATTGGCTGTAAGATGGATATCCATAATCCTCTACAAAGATTTATACGGGTAATTTCACTAGGACTGTAAGGTATTGATTGATGAGTATTAGCTGTAATGTTCAGAGCATGTTGTCGGAAATTTAAATTGTCCTTATATTATTCATTCATATTATATTCATAACATGTAGTTATATTTATATAAATTAATAATCTATACGAATGTTGACTGTCGGCTGTTTATTCTGAACATGTTTATATATTAATGATAATATTATTTAAAAGATATTTATGTATTTTTATTCAGACATAGCGGATTATATGGATTTCATATTATGAAGATGAATAATAGAAAATCTAACTATGAAAGTGTAGTATTAAATCCATCGAATATATTGAATGTTATTGAAATTCCTTTACAATCGACAACTGATACCCAAACCCAACTAGAAGTATTAAACGATAATTCAACAACTTAAAAACCTACCTCATTACTTAAGTTAATGCTGTTAATTTTAGTGTAGGTATTGGAACGGTATATTAGGTTGGACTAATGAAGGATGCAAGTTTCTTGGTGTAGTCACAAAATCATTTAATCCGTTTGCTAAGTGTGAATGTCCAGCATTCAAATATTACGGGTAAGTTAAACAATGATAAATTAACTAAATAATAGTAGTATAACTATTAACTAATATTATACGTTTATTGCATATCACAATATCACATTTTTTTCAGAATATTTTCAGTAGACGTTGCAAACATCTTATTCGATAATTCAGTATCGGATTCAACACACAATACAGTCGTTTATGATAATAAAAATAAGAACCAACTTTTCAATAACTCTTCGATTACTCAAAGATCCCTTTCTGATATATGTGTAGCTTTCAAGTAAGAAATATTATATTTAAAAAATATTACCGATAGTAGTTTTTAATAGTTCACAAAATAATTTTGTTTATAATTGTTATAAACATTAATTTATCTTGAGTAATATTTGTTAATCATGTGTTCTTGCGTAATGGTATTTTATAATGCAATATGCCAATATTATATAAGTTTCTTTTGTCATAAATAAAACCTATTTAAATGCTAGTGTACTGTATAGAATACTGTATTCAAAAAAATAATAGGAGATACTATTGTAGGTAAAATGTTTTTTTTAATATCTATAGATAAGGTAGCTTTGTGTGTCTATTCTATTGTCTTAAGTTATAAACAATTACGTTTTGTATCAAATATGTATATTTAAAAACATCCAACAATAAAAAGTAACTTATTATTTGTTCTTATGTTAACAGAGTAAATGGGGATCCTGCCGATTTGCATGATCAGAATCTAAGGGATTTAGAAAATTCTTTAAGTCGACAATTAACGGAAAAAATTGTATCTCTTTCTTCAGTTTTGAAAGAATTGAAATTGATTATGAGTAAGTTATTTTAGTTTTTAAAAATATTTAATAACGTATGAATACATGGATTAACCAGTCATTTAGTCCCTGTTTCTGAATCATCAACCATAATTATTATAACAAGATAAATCTCATAGAGGTACCCAAGTTACCATAAACGTATATTTAAACATAATACATTTTTATATTAGTTTTTGGAAATTTGTGAATATTTGTAAGTTTATAATTTAAAAAAATAAAACTTTTAACTTTTCAACCATTCAGTGTTTATATACGTAATTTATAACATTATTCATGTATTTAATCTATCAATCTTATAATTTACTTTAATAATTACTAAAAAATATAAATTGTAAATACTATAATACAAAAACATAATTTTAATTCATGTTTTTTCATTATAGTTAGGTACCCATATTATTTGCACACAATCATAACCAGGGGTGCTGTATGGGGGTGGCAGGGTGTACTTTAGCCCCACAATATTTTCTGCATCTTATTGGCCTTCCAAAAAGTTTACAACCACGCTGATGCAAAAAAAAAATAAAATATATTATTGAAACCATAATGCGTATACCTAGTATAATATGTATAGAGGTAATGTATATTTATATTCGTACCTATATCGTTGGTATGCATATCAAAAGCTCTTTTCAATTTCTAACTTTCCAATTTTTACTTTATTTAAAATATTTAATATATAACTTTTCAATCCCACGCACATACATGCATAAAATACCTATGTACTATTAGTATTTACCATGATGAAGAAAAAGTAATTAGAGGATGAAACAAAATTGGCCAGGTTACATTTTTGCATCCCTGTTAAAAAAAACTTAAATTTCACCATTGATTATAGTACTTTCACAACCTCAATAATGTACAAATATACAGTTGTATATATTATACCATATTACTATAATGTTTATTTATAAAAATAATTTAGGACTCAATATGTTTTCCATTATTATTGTAGGTGAACCGATGTATATAACTTTACATTTAATGCAAAACGTAAATATTACTACAGATGAATCTATTCAAGACCTTGTTAAGAAACTAGCTGATGGATCTTTAATTGTATATGACTTGCATAGATTTAGGTTATATGTGCCAGAACAACCATTGCGAATTATCCAGCCACGTAACTTAGGTAACAATTAATAAAATTACTTTTTTTTATACTATATATATATGTATTATAAAATTTGAAATAAAATGCATTATTCTTTAACACAAATACTATCATTTGTTAAAACTTGTATTTAACAAAAAATAAATGTTTTCTTTTTCAGAGTTTAGCGAAACGGGAAAAAATATTGCATTGTTCTTCGCTATATTTGTGGCTTTTCTCGCCTGTTTTGTGTTTGGTTCAATATTATTCAAACGGCATCAACTTCTTACCGAAATTTCAGATGTTCAAGTAAAGTAAAAAGAAATGCATTATACTTTATAATTTATATACATAGTAGTACTTTATTTTAAAATTTATCAGATAAACCAATAACATTTTCGTTTGAGTTTAAAAATGTGTCTGTTTATAAAAATTAAATAAGTATTAATAAAATATGTATAAAAAATAATCAAATTCACCTAAATAAGAATCAACAAGAAAGTATATAGTTTCCTAAGGAAACTTTCCTTATATCTAAATAGTATATTTCAATACTAAATAGTGGATAAAACTGAGCTTACACATACGTATCAAAGGATTAAAATTAGTTTGAGACTTTTAGTAGTAAAATATTAAATGATAATATAATTTCGTGTGAACATAAAATATTCAGATAGGAGGTCTCTACTATTGATTTTCACATAAAATACCGAAAAAAATGTTTTCAGCAAAATGTAAAACAAAAAGATCCTATAAGACGACCAAAATATAAGAAATTGGAGTCCACTGAATTGATTGAACAAAATACATCCTCAGAACAAAGATTTCGGCATTTTAATAACAGTAAATAAAAAATAATTATAGTAGTAAAATAATCTGCTATTTATCAAACTAAAATAATCAATTTATAATTTCAGATGTAGAACTTTCGGACTCTGGTATTACTTTACATTCTGATAGGACACAAATCAATTTATTACAGCAACTGCATTAGATTATAATTTGAATACAGATGACAAGTTGTGTATTGTACTTAATAGGAAATAAATATAATTCAGTATTAATATTGATTTTTGATGCCTTGGTCGACACTTTTACATACCAGCTACCTAGGTATATACACATGTATTATGTACCTATCCAGTGGTGCCGTGAACATTTTTAACGCAAGGGTAAACATTTAAGTTGTAAATACTATAGTGTGTACTGCAGATATTTAAAATTCATTATAATTATTACGTTATCAATTTTATTTCATCCCCTGTTCTCCGTCAACCATCCTCTCCAAACTCTCTGCGGTTTATTTTCAGGATTTACCGTAATTCAGAATTTTTTTTCAAAAAAATGTAATTACAAATTAACAACCGAAGAATTCCTTCTGTTGTATAGTGGGTATCGAATCATTGAGTAACTGAGTAATGGATATGTTCAATTTTAATTTAATAATAAATCATTGTATACTAATTGCACCTACCTATATTAGAAACAACGAAAAATGAATCCCGTTCGTCTTCTAAGAATATTTTGTTATACCTTTATATATTGTTATTTGTAATTTATTTTTCTTTTAGTGATGGAGCAAATTGAAACTATTTTTGCGAAAACTAGATAATCGTGTATAATGTATGAGACGATGTGCTTCTATTTTCCTCATATACCTAGTAATTATCATAATATAGTTGCATGTAATATATTAATATATATAGCTAATATTAAATTGTAAGAAAATACTTATAGTAATACATATAGATACCTCAGAAGTTCAGAACGGTGTAAATAGATTAGAAGTATAAAAAAAATTGAAATTAATCTGAAAATTTTGAAAATTGTTATTGTATATAGAAATCTCTAAATAATAGTATACTTAGTGGTAAAAAAGTGTTAAAATATTTTTTGAATTATAACGGAATAACAAAAATCGTTATTTTTCGTAATTTTGTCAAAACATTAAACATTAAATATTTAAATGTCTATAGAATATAACTATTTAAGAAAAACGTATGACATCCCTTGTAAGTTGTATTACATTTTCAAGCCTAAAGTCTTGAAACTAAAAATTATATTAATCTTAAACTAAAAATAATTTGTACATTTTCGTGGTTTTAACGAATTTTGGTAAATTTTAACTTCTATTAAAGTTATAAAAAAAGTTGTAGTTATATCTATAGATGTATTTTCTTTGAATTTACAATGCTATAAAAACAACTTTTTGGAGATCTTGTGTTACATTTTAAGATGTTTTACTCAAAAACAAAAATGCTTTTTATGTGTACAGTTGCAAAAAAACTATTAGTAATACCCGTCTAAAATTCCAAATTGTTATTCATATTAATTTTTAAATAATAAAAAGAAAATAAAATCTAGTTTTGAGTAAAAAATCTGTTTTTTCTTTCTTAATTTTTTGTTTTCCCGGATTATTTTTGAAAGTAGGTATTGCGAATTTTTTATTTTTAACTTCCAAAGTATCATCTAATAGATCAGGTTTTCTACCAGCGGTTTTCTATCACCCTCGAAGTTAAAGATCGAAGCATTTTTTCAACTATAAATGTGTCTTCGGACACAAAAAAATATACATTATTGGAAAACTGATAGGTAAGTGATTCAAACGCCACACAGATTTTAGAAAAAACACGAAATTGTAAATTTCTAGAACAAATACATTCATTGTTTTATCCAGAATTGAATACACCCTTAAAACCGGTAGGGTTGATCTATGAAATATATAGACCGTGTGGCCTAATGGATAAGGCGTCGGACTTCGGATCCGAAGATTGCAGGTTCGAGTCCTGTCACGGTCGTCAAATATTTGTTATTGCCAAACAATATTTATTTATGCTAAATAAATACTGTTTTGGCTTGCTAATTTTACAAATGTTGAAACCTCTTTTAATTTTTATTTTGGCATATTTTTTAAATATTGATAGATAATAACTATTTTATTAAACATAATAATAATTAAGCACATAATATTATGTTATAAGTTATAACCAACTACTTATTGGTCAGCTCATTGAAATAGCCAATAGGTATAACATTATACTCATTATAGACTTATTGTTCACATGTTTTTAACTTATAATTATCGTATATATTTACGTAACTAGGAATCATTTTACAGAGGTATTATAAAGATATATGTATTGCGCTTGTGAATTGTTTTATCGTAATCTCTTCATTTACATTTATACGTATTAAACAATCATATAATTCAACATAGGTATGTATATCAACAAACACAGACGAAAAGAGACTAGTAGTGTTTGAAAGAAAAATCTTAGGTAGACTCTATGGCCTCAAAAGAAACGAAAAAGAGAATACATACGAACGAATAACGAATGAAGAGTTGAGAACAATATTTGATGAGCTGGACATGGGTGGGCGTTCTCAAAAGCAGAAAGATAAGCTGGGTGCCTGGGTCGGTCAAGTTTGGAGAGCAGAAGGCCGAACGTTACATGAAATTGCATTATGGAAACCAGACAATATCTATGATTTGAAACTGGTTTCAAACCCGTTTTCAGAAACCAGTAAAACCATTAAAAAATCGAAACCGGTATTAAAATAAAAAAATGAAACCGGTATTAAAATTATAACCGAAACCGGAAAAAATTGAAAACCGGTATTATAATTCATTTTTTTAATTTTAAACTTTTGAAATATTTTTGTTTTAGGTTTCTCAGAGCTTGTAAATCGTAGAGTTCAATAAAAAAAAAAATCACCAATAGTAAATCAATTCTCATATTTTTATGAAAAATTTAAAAATCTTGTTAAGTATTTGAGTACAATAAAAAATATACTTATAAAAATACATAACAAAGAATCAAAAAATTCCATGGACAAGAACGGCAGGTGTTCGACATTTGTTTAATTTCGTTCACTGTAGTCCAGAGGCGTCATATGGCATTATGTACTTAAGCACCCATATTATATTTTCTGAGTATATCTTTCATGGCCTGCTATGAAAATTACAGACGATCCGAAAACTGAAAGTTAAAAAACATGAAAATCATAATGCGTATATAATATAATATATGTAGGTATATAGATAACGTACAGTGAAACCTGTATAAAACGGACACCTCTCTTAACGGACAAAATAATATGGTCCTAGTAAAAATATAGGCATTACCAAAAACCTTTCTATAATAGACAATTTTGATGGTCCCTTGAGTGTCCCTTATAATAGGCAAGTTTAACTGTATATTATTGGAATGCATATAATGTGCAATAAAAGGTATATTTCCTATTTAACTTGTTAAAATATACAATCTGTTAAATAAGTTGATGTCTGATAAGATATATTTTATCATATATGCCATCTATGCACGATACTTTTAGAGAAGTCCTTAAAAAAAATGTGATTAAACAAAATTTATTACCTACCTACTTTTTAAAAAAATTTTGATTTTTCAATTAATTGATTTTTTTTAGATCCCATCCCAAAAATGACTTGGCTTTAAATCTAAAAAATATATTACTAATGAATGAAGATCGTTTTTTGATTACTGCAGACAATGTTTTTTAAAACTATTATATTGAACAATTGAAAATAAAACCGTAAACTAAAACAAAAATTTGTCGACCGTGACAGGACTCGAACCTGCAATCTTCGGATTCGAAGTCCGACGCCTTATCCATTAGGCCACACGGTCTATGGAAAATTATGAGGAAACTGGTATATTTAACACAAGAGTATTAGGAGAAACTTCGGATTATACACTTTTAATATTGGTGTATTATATTTATTATAATATTTATTTTATATTGTTAATATTTTTTATATTGCATAATTTACTTCTGTGTACATTGGTCCGTGTCCGTACTCCGTAACCAATAAAATTATCTGTAAATATGCATTTTACTTGCAATTATCTTTAAAAATATGTTTTACTAAGCTTTAATATAATATTAAGGCATCCAGCCAGCCAGGTGTAGGTAGTTAATTTTATAAACAAATAAAAGGAAACGTTCCAGTCTCATTGGTGGATCACTACCGCCTGTCCTATTCGTTACACAAATGTTCAAACTGAAAGAAAAAATATTTACTTGAATTTTTTTGTGTTTATTTTATTAAAAATAAATACCTACCTACCTTATTATACGAATACATAACTATTTTAAATTGACCACCGTGTTTAAAAAATAGCTAGGCATTTAGGTATATGATATTATGATCATCTAAGATTTGAATATTATGGATTCACTTTCCTTGCTTATCTAGCTATCATATGTATCATTTAAATAAAATTGAAGACAGCAAGTTATGTGTTTGCATATGTATGTGATTGTGAATTGTGATAGACTAATAAGTTTATTAGTAATAACCAATAGGTAGGTAATGTACGTATATGACATATATAAGATATTTTAATATGTACCTAGGTACAATAGTACGCAGCGATACTAAATATCCAATTTATACTTCACAGCTTTCTTTAAAAGTTCTTAACCGTTTGTAAATAATGTGGAACTGGAGCTATGTATAGACAATTATAACAATTTATAAATAGGTATTTTTTTTTTAATATTACCTATTTATAAATTGTTATAATTGTCTATACATAGCTCCAGTTCCACATTATTTACAAACGGTTAAGAACTTTTAAAGAAAGCTGTGAAGTATAAATTGGATATTTAGTATTTTTAAATAATATTAATAATAATAATATCGAGCAACGAATAATGGTGGCTAGTGCCAATAAGATCCAAGTAGAGTAACATAATATGGCAGTATATAGCAGCATATAATCCACCTTTCGCCAAAATTGATACCTGAAATTATATTACATAGGTAACTGTACAAGTTTTATAAAGTAAAAAGTAAATTTCTAACCTAATTCCTAGACTAATTCGATGACAATTATCCGTTATACATTTTTTTTTAATTTAGTGCAACTACCCAATAGTACCTAATATAATAATCGATGATCGTGGTGATATGCATTTTACTATTCGAAAAATAAATTGTTTTCTATACTTAATTTCTAATTCAACTTCTTTGTTATAATTAAACATTATACAAACGTTTTGATCTATTTTTTTTGTAACTTTGATATAAATCAATGTTTTTAAATAACTGGAAAAAAATTATTTTTGAATTTAAACGATGTGTAATAAATAATTTATTTATATGCTTTGAAAATTACAGGAAAAGGGTACTATAAAAAAAAACGGTAAAAACAAATCTGCGACCGTGACAGGACTCGAACCTGCAATCTTCGGATCCGAAGTCCGACGCCTTATCCATTAGG